ATAACAAACTGGAGGACAGAACTATCTAGTTAAATCCCTTTAGATATGGTATATTATAAAGTTAAACAAAAACTGAGATATTTGAAAGAATTTGGAAGACCTATGTTGATCACCTTGGAGAATGTTTTGTATAGTGGGCGTGTAGGAGCCAATTTAGGATTTTGTCAACATTAGTATAAGAGACATTTTTTGGTTTACTTCATGTTACATTGTTTCAGTTGTCTCATACTTTTTTGTTATGGGATACTGTCTCTTTAAGAGATCACGCAGTGGCTCATTTCCACTCTATTTGGCCTCGTGGGTTTGTTTACATTTTCGAACGCTAGTTGTAACTGTCACTTTTGGTCAGTTGTAGTTAAGCTGTGGAGTCACATGGTTTTCATACTGTGTCCTCGTTTTTGTTATCCCTGGGCGACATCATTGACCAAGGCTATGCATGTGAAGAACTCAGCCGTAGTGACGGCAAGGTATGGTACATACCACACCATGGGGTGTACCATCCGAAGAAGCAGAAGATCCAGGTGGTGTTCGACAGTGGGGCGTTGTTCCAAGTTACCACGCTGAACAACCAGCTGCTACAGGGGCCAGATCTCACCAACACTCTGATAGGTGTAATCACCAGATTCAGACAAGAAACAGTTGTGACTATGGCTGATGTGGAAGCCATGTTCCACCAAGTGGATGTGCCTGCCGAAGATTCTGACCTTCTCAGATTCCTCTGGTGGCCAAATGGTGACATCAGTCAAACCATGGAGGAATACAAGATGGTGGTTCACTTGTTCGGGGCAACCTCGTCCCCAAGTTAGTCAGCTCAAAAGAGGAAGCTGTGTCACTCTATCATGACCTGAGAGCTATCTGTAGAAAGGGAGGATTCCGGCTACCGAAGTGGGTGAGCAACAGTCGTGCCGTACTGTCGGCTATCCCTGAAGAAGAGAGAGCAAAAGAGGTCAAGGACTTTGACCTGGATCAAGACGCACTCCCTGTGGATTGTGCATTGGGTATACAGTGGTATTTCCAGTCTGACACCTTCAAGCTCAGAGTTGTCATCCAAGACCCTCACCAGAAGAGGGATCCTTTCCATAGTGAGCTCGATCTACAATCCATTGGGGATCGGAGCGCCAGTGGTTCTGCCAGTGAAGAAGATCCTGCAAGAGCTGTGCAGACTGAACCTAGGCTGGGATGATGTCGTGCCAGATCAGCTTGCCCAGCAGTGGTTCGACTGGATGAAGGCACTCCATCAGTTGAAAGACTTTGGAGAAGGTCAGTGCTTTAAACCCGCAGGCTTTGGAGAGTCAACGTTCGCTCAGCTGCAACACTTCTCAGATGCGAGTGAAGGCGGCTACGGTACAGTGAGCTACTGCTGCAACGGAACAGCCACGATTAAGTACATTGTGCCTTCGTCATTGTGAAGGATAGAGTCGCTCTGCTCAAACATACCACAATTCCCCTTATGGAGCTCACAGCAGCAACCATGGCAGGACACATGGACAAGATGATGAAAAGAGAGCTGCAGCTTGAAGATTACGTTTTGTGGACGGATAGTACAGCCGTACTGAAGATCATCAGAAACATGGCTCTCTATGTAGTTTTTAGTAATTGTTTCACGTTTTAGATAACAATTAGGGGCCGGTAATATGGGAGCCAATTTAGGATTTTGTCAACATTAGTATAAGAGACATTTCTAGGTTTACTTCATGTTACATTGTTTAAGTAGTCTCATGCTTTTTTGTTATGGGATACTGTCTCTTTAAGAGATCATGCAGTGGTTCATGTCCACTCTATTTGGGCTCATGGGTTTGTTTATATTTTAGAACTCGTTGTAACTGGCACTTTTGGTCAGTTGTAGTTGAGCTGTGGAGTCATACGTTTTCTTACCGCATCCTAATTGTTGTTATCCCTGTGGAAATAATTGTAAGTACCTGAATATACTTACCTTTAGTATAGTTACTTACTTGAAGATCTGTGGATACCTGTACATACTGGAAACCTGTGGAATAAAGTAATTTGGTTTTGGAGTCCGTGTGCGTTAGAGTGAGTGATGCGCGTCTACCATACAGCCTCAAGCTAAGCTATCGCTGCTCCTACAGGGCATTTTGTTTTTGTGTTGTTGTTTGTGAAGTAGAAAAACTATTAAAAAAACAAAATGGTCAATTATCTAATCTAATAGGTTAATGAAGAAGCGGAGGCAGTATCGGTAAAGGTGTGTGTGAAGGTTTGTCTGTGTGTATTTGGCAAGTTGCATGAGGGCTCTAAAGCAGCTGTACCTTTGAGTAAAAAAACTTGAGGTAGAAACCACAGTGTAGAAATTAAACTGTGTAGGTGTTTTTTCTTTTATGGTGTGAGAAAGTTGCGAGATGTTCTGTGTAAGTGTGATTGTGTTTATTCATCTGTGTGCATTCTCAGTACAGGAAACCTCAGTGTATTTGTGTTTAAAACATAGCACTTGTTTTCTGATTACACCATCTAACCGTGACACTCAGAAAGCAGAGAGAGAGAGAGAGATGTTTCATGTGTATCCAACAGACAAATGAAGACACAAGGAGAATCAGTTCAATTTTGTAAAAATAGTGCTCTTTAATATAAATTATTGAAATATCTTAGAAATATAAATATGTGCAAAGTTCATTCTTTAATTTATCTTCTGAAATGCTTTTATTTTATTTTAGTTCCAGATAGTTGGGCATGCACTGTCTGCCAGTCTAGTGGCAAGGTTATGAGCAGTCTTTATAAAAGACAAGTACTTCTGGCACACACATGTAGCTGGGCTGGTGCTACACATTATGTTGCTATGACGATAATAAATGTTACAAATTACAAATGTTGCTCTTCTACGAACTAGGCTCCTATCAGGAAGACATGGATTTAGCTAAACACGACATCATCACCGTCTTCATCATTATCTTCATCATCAAATGAAGGGTTTGTTGTCTATGTTTCAAAACAATCTTACCTACTCATCCTCCTCACCACTCACTCTCTCACCCCTTCTCCCCAATCACCCTCGCCTGTCCCCCCCTCATCCAGCCTTGCCCTTACTCGTCTTCAGCACTCTACCCTCACCCTTCAATCCCCCCCCCCGCCACAGACTACGTTCTGCTTCAGTTGTTGTTTCATGATGTGTCCCAAATGGCACCCTATTTTCTATTTAGTGCACTACTTTTGACCAGGGCTAGTGCCCTATTAAGGGAATAGGGTGGCATTTGGGACACATATTGTTTCTGCCTGCCTAGAACAATAATAAGATCCACTGTTAGCTTTGGGGTTGAGCAAGAGAGAGCGAGAGAGCAAGAGAGAGATCTATCTATCTAAATAAGAGAGTGAGTGAGGGAGAGGTGTTATAATAGTGTTATCATACATTTTCTCTTGTGAATAGATGGATGGAGAGATGGGAAGAAAGACAAACGAAGAGAGGGAGAGAGAGACGCAGAGGCATCTCCATCACATTCTAACAGAAGAGCTACCAAAGCTGCAGTTACAGTGCCGTGAAAAAGTATTTGCTCCCTTTCTGATGTTCTCTATTTTTGCATATTTCTTTGCACATCGCTGTGGAGGAATTTTGGCCCATGCTTGCATGCAGAACTGCTTTAACTCAGCGACATTTGTGGGTTTTCAAGCATGAACTGCTTGTTTCAAGTCCCGCAACAACATCTCAATTGGGATTAGGTGGTAGTGTGATGGTTTGGGAATGCTTTGCTGCTTCAGGACCTGGACGACTTGCCTTAGAAGGAACCATGAATTCTACTCTGTATCAGAGAATTCTACAGGAGAATGTCAGGCCATCCGTCTGTGAGCTGAAGCTGAAGCGCAGCTGGGTCATGCAGCAAGACAATGATCCAAAACACACAATCAAGTCTACATGAAAATGGTTAAAAAGCAACACATTTTAAGTTTTGGAATGGCCTAGTCAAAGTCCAGACCTAATCCCAATTGAGATGTTGTGGGAGGACTTGAAATGAGCAGTTCATGCTTGAAAACCCACAAATGTCGCTGAGTTAAAGCAGTTTTGCATGGAAGAGTGGGCCAAAATTCCTCCACAGCGACGTGAGAGACTGATCAACAACTACAGGAAGTGTTTGGTTGGAGTCATTGCAGCTAAAGGTGGCACAACCAGTTATTGAGTGTAAGTGTGCAATTACTTTTTCACACAGGGGCATTGGGTGTTGCATAACTTTGTTTATGAAATAAGTATGTAATTGTTGTGTTATTTGTTCACTCAGGTTCCTTGTTTCTAATATTAGGTTTTGGTTGAAGATCTGATAACATTCAGTATCAAAAATATGCAAAAGTAGAGAAAATTAGAAAGGGGCAAATACTTTTTCACAGCACTGTAAACTGCATGTACGTACGCGCGTGTTTGTGTGAGGCTAGTGGCTGTCTTCAGCCATGATCCCCCACACCCTCCTATGAGGCAATGCTAGTTGGCATACAGCAGTGGAAATGTGTACGACACCACACACACAAACACTTTAACTCTGCTTTGGGCCCCTCGTTTGACATACACTGCTGTTCTCCAGACTCTCTCTCCTTTTCTCTCATTACACCTCTCTCCCTGTCTCTCCCTTCCTTTCCCTCCCTCTCTCACAGTCCATTGAGCCCATTCAAACAGGAGAAAAAGGAGGAGATGAAAGCCTCTACTGATCAATAGAAGAAGCTATACCTCAGCCACAGCAGCACAACAAACCCAAAGACAACCTTCTGGTCACACTCCTAAAGCCACAAACAGCACTGTGTATGTGTGTTTGCTTGCGTGTGTGCCGGGTTTGCGGTCTGCGTTATCAACCTATCACAATCTTTTTGACTACCCAATCACACCACCCGCTGACTCTTGACTCCCATCAACGGTCTGTCCAGGAGCGGAGGAGTATCAATTGTTACCTATATGAGGTTCCACATGATAAGAAAGCAGTGGCATCGATCTGGAATAGCTTACCCTCTCCAAATCCTATCCTCAACCGTTAGAGGGGAAAACCCCAAACCTGAACTGTGTGAGTTTTTGTGTGTTAGATGGGGGCATCGTACTCTTCCAAGAAGTTCCTGAGTGTGTGAGGGAGCTGGTGTGTGTCTGGGCGGTCCGGGCCCCCCAGGTGTCCGTTCAGGGTCCTCCTACACAGGTGTTGGAGGGAGGACAGGGAGGAGGGGAGGGGCCGACGCAGCTCCAACGGAACCTTCTCTTCCCCTGAGTAGATCAGATACACACTCCCAGTCCCCGACCCCACAGTCTCCCCCGCCGCCGCAGCCGTGCCTCCCCCCGTCCTTACCCCAGCCCCAGTCTCCCCCTCTCCTCTTCCTCCTGCTGCTGCTGCTTCTCCACCTCCTCTCTCCTTCCCCATGTAGTGTCCAATCAGTTTGAGCACACAGTCGAAGCGCGGGGGCATGTGTGTGCAGCGCGGGTCAGGTTGCAAGTAAAAGCTTCCCCCCTGGCTGTGGATACGGAGGTTCTTGGTCCCGCGGGCCGTTTGGACCGACAGTGTGAAGAAGTAGTGGTTGTCGGACGAGTCTCGGACCAGGAAGGTCCCGGGGGGCTGGGAGCGGAGCAGAGAGCTGGCCTCACGACCCCCCACTGCACCCCAGTAGAACCCACTCTCTTGTAGCTTACGCACCGCACACAGCACCTGGAGCAAGGAGAAGAATAGGTTACTTACTGTATATGACACGGGTATGACAAAACCCTTTTTTTTACTGCCCTAATTACATTGGTAACCAGTTTATAATAGCAATAAGGCACCTAGGGGGTTTGTGGTATATGGCCTATCTACCACGGCTAAGGGCTGTATCCAGGCACTCTGCGTTGTGTCGTGCTGCAGAACATCCCTTAGCCATGGTTTATTGGCCATATTCCACACCCCCTCGTGCCTTATTGCTTAAATATAATAGTTGATGACAATAATAACTACAATACATACACTATCGTTTGACATATTCAATCTCGCCCTATCCCAGTCTGCTGTCCCCGCTTTCTTCAAGATGTCCACCATTGTTCCTGTACCTAAGAAACTAAATGACTATCGCCCCGTAGCACTCAATTGTCATCATAAAGTGCTTTGAGAGGCTAGTTAAGGATCATATCACCTCTACCTTACCCGACACCCTAGACCCACTGCATCTTGCATACCGCCTCAATAGATCCACAGATTATGCAATCGCCATCGCAATGCACACTACCCTATTCCATCTGGACAAGAGGAATACCTATATAAGAATGTTGTTCATTGACTACACCTCAGCCTTCAACACCATTGTACCCTCCAAGCACATCATTAAGCTTGGGGTCCTGGGTCTGAACCCCGCCCTGTGCAACTGGGTCCTGGGACTTCCTGACGGGCCGACCCCAGGTGGAAGGTAGGCAACAACACCTTCAATACGCTGATCCTCAACACAGGGGCCCCACAAGGGTGTGTGCGCAGCCCCCTCCTGAACTCCCGGTTCACCCATGACAGCGTGACCACTCACGTCTCCAACTCAATCATCAAGTTTGCAGACGACACAACAGTGGTGCTCCTGATTACCAACAACGTCGAGACAGCTGGCAGGGAGGAGGTGAGGACCCTGGCGGAGTAGTGCCAGGAAAATAACCTCTCCCTCAACAAGACGAAGGAGCTGATCATGGACTTCAGGAGACAACAGAGGGAGCACGCTCCCATCTACATTGACGGGGCCGCTGTGGAGAAGGCGAAAAGCTTCAAGTTTCCTCGGCGTTCACATCACTGACAATCTGAAATGGTCCACCCAGAAGAAGGTGCAACAGCACTTTTCAACCTCAGGAGGCTGAAGAAATTCATATTGGCCCCTAAGACCCTCACAAACCTTTACAGATGCACCATTGAGAGCATCCTCAATAAATAGGCCATAGTGCAAAATAGTTACAATTTCGTATTAACACTGGAATGATAGATGTGCAAAAGATGATGTGCGAATAGAGATACTGGGGTGCAAATTACCAAAATAAATAACAATATGGGGATGAGGTAGTTACGTGAGCTAATTTCAGAATGGCTGTGTACAGGTGCAGTGATCGGTAAGCTGCTCTGACAACTGATGCTTAAAGTTAGTGAGGGAGATAAGTGTCTCCAGCTTCAGAGATTTTTGCAGTTCGTTCCAGTCATTGGCAGCAGAGAACTGGAAGGAATGGCGGCCAAAGGAGGTGTTGGCTTTGGGGATGACCAGTGAGATATACCTGCTGGAGCGCAGACTACGGGTGGGTGTTGCTATGGTGACCAGTGAGCTAAGATAAGACAGGGATTTGCCTAGCAGTGATTTATAGATGACCTGGAGCCAGTGGGTTTGGCGACGAAAATGTAGTGAGGGCCAGCCAACAAGAGCGTACAGGTCACAATGGTGGGTAGTATACGGGGCTTTGGTGACAAAACTGATGGCACTGTGATAGACTACATCCAATTTGCTGAGTAGAGTGTTGGAGGCTATTTTGTAAATGACATCGCCGAAGTCATGGATCGGTAGGATAGTCAGTTTTACGAGGGCATGTTTGGCAGCATGAGTGAAGGAGGCTTTGTTGAGAAATAGGAAGCCAATTCTAGATCTAACTTTTGATTGGAGATGCTTAATGTGACTCAGGAAGGAGAGTTTACAGTCTAACCAGACACCTAGGTATTTGTAGTTGTCCACATACTCTAGGTCAGACCCGCCGAGAGTAGTGATTCTAGTCGGGTGGGCGGGTGCAAGCAGCGTTCGGTTGAAGAGCATGCATTTAGTTTTACTAGTGTATAAGAGCAGTTGGAGTCTACGGAAGGAGTGTGTATTGCGTTGAAGCTCGTTTGGAGGTTTGTTAACACAGTGTCCAATGAAGGGCCAGATGTATACAAAATGGTGTCGTCCGCATAGAGGTGGATCCGAGCGTCACCAGCAGCAAGAGCGACATCATTGATATACACAGAGAATAGAGTCGGCCCGAGAATTGAACCCTGTGGAGACTGCCCCCATAGAGACTGCCAGAGGTCCAGACAACAGGCCCTCCGATTTGACACATTGAACTCTGAGAAGTAGTTGGTGAACCAGGCGAGGCAGTCATTTGAGAAACCAAGGCTATTTAGTCTGCCAATAAGAATGCGGTGGATGACAGAGTCGAAAGCCTTGGCCAGGTCAATGAAGACGGCTGCGCGGTACTGTCTTTTATCGATCGCGGTTATAATATCGTTTAGGACCTTGAGCGTGGCTGAGGTGCACCCATGACCAGCTCGGAAACCGGATAGCATAGCGGAGAAGGTACGGTGGGATTCGAAATGGTCGGTGATCTGTTTGTTAACTTGACTTTCAAATACTTTCGAAAGGCAGGGAAGGATGGATATAGGTCTTTAACAGTTTGGATCTAGAGTGTCACCCCCTTTGAAGAGGGGGATGACCGCGTGAAGCTTTCCAATCTCTGGGGATCTCAGACGTTACGAAAGAGAGGTTGAACAGGCTAGTAATAGGGGTTGCGACAATTTCGGCGGCTAATTTTAGAAAGAAAGGGTCCAGATTGTCTAGCCCAGCTGATTTGTAGGGGTCCAGATTTTTCTGCTCTTTCAGAACATCAGGCTGCTGCCCTATGTACATAGACATGGAACACTAGACACTTTAATAATGTTTACATAATGTTTTAACCACTTCATATGTACAGTGGGGGAAAAAAGTATTTAGTCAGCCACCAATTGTGCAACTTCTCCCACTTAAAAAGATGAGACAGGCCTGTAATTTTCATCATAGGTACACGTCAACTATGACAGACAAAATGAGAATAAAAATCCAGAAAATCACATTGTAGGATTTTTTATGAATTTATTTGCAAATTATGGTGGAAAATAAGTATTTGGTCAATAACAAAAGTTTCTCAATACTTTGTTATATACCCTTTGTTGGCAATGACACAGGTCAAACGTTTTCTGTAAGTCTTCACAAGGTTTTCACACACTGTTGCTGGTATTTTGGCCCATTCCTCCATGCAGATCTCCTCTAGAGCAGTGATGTTTTGGGGCTGTCGCTGGGCAACACGGACTTTCAACTCCCTCCAAAGATTTTCTATGGGGTTGAGATCTGGAGACTGGCTAGGCCACTCCAGGACCTTGAAATGCTTCTTATGAAGCCACTCCTTCGTTGCCCGGGCGGTGTGTTTGGGATCATTGTCATGCTGAAAGACCCAGCCACGTTTCATCTTCAATGCCCTTGATGATGGAAGGAGGTTTTCACTCAAAATCTCACAATACATGGCCCCATTCATTCTTTCCTTTACACGGATCAGTCGTCCTGGTCCCTTTGCAGAAAAACAGCCCCAAAGCATGTTGTTTCCACCCCCATGCTTCACAGTAGGTATGGTGTTCTTTGGATGCAACTCAGCATTCTTTGTCCTCCAAACACGACGAGTTGAGTTTTTACCAAAAAGTTCTATTTTGGTTTCATCTGACCATATGACATTCTCCCAATCCTCTTCTGGATCATCCAAATGCACTCTAGCAAACTTCAGACGGGCCTGGACATGTACTGGCTTAAGCAGGGGGACACGTCTGGCACTGCAGGATTTGAGTCCCTGGCGGCGTAGTGTGTTACTGATGGTAGGCTGTGTTACTGATGGTAGGCTTCGTTACTTTGGTCCCAGCTCTCTGCAGGTCATTCACTAGGTCCCCCCGTGTGGTTCTGGGATTTTTGCTCACCATTCTGTGATCATTTTGACCCCACGGGGTGAGATCTTGCGTGGAGCCCCAGATCGAGGGAGATTATCAGTGGCCTTGTATGTCTTCCATTTCCTAATTATTGCTCCCACAGTTGATTTCTTCAAACCAAGCTGCTTACCTATTGCAGATTCAGTCTTCCCAGCCTGGTGCAGGTCTACAATTTTGTTTCTGGTGTCCTTTGACAGCTCTTTGGTCTTGGCCATAGTGGAGTTTGGAGTGTGACTGTTTGAGGTTGTGGACAGGTGTCTTTTATACTGATAACAAGTTCAAACAGGTGTCATTAATACAGGTAACGAGTGGAGGACAGAGGAGCCTCTTAAAGAAGAAGTTACAGGTCTGTGAGAGCCAGAAATCTTGCTTGTTTGTAGGTGACCAAATACTTATTTTCCACCATAATTTGAAAATAAATTCATGAAAAATCATATAATGTGATTTTCTGGATTTTTTTCCCTCAATTTGTCTGTCATAGGTGACGTGTACCTATGATTAAGATTACAGGCCTCTCATCTTTTTAAGGGGGAGAACTTGCACAATTGGTGGCTGACTAAATACTTTTTTCCCCCCACTGTATGTATGTATGTATGTATGTATGTATGTATGTATGTATATATATTATACAGTTGAAGTAGGAAGTTTACATACACTTAGGTTGGAGTCATTAAAAAACTCGTTTTTCAACCACTCCACAAATGTCTTGTTAACAAACTATAGTTTTGGCAAGTCGGTTAGGACATCTACTTTGTGCATTACACAAGTCATTTTTCCAACAATTGTTTACAGACAGATTATTTCACTGTATCACAATTTCAGTGGGTCAGACGTTTACATACACTAAGTTGACTGTGCCTTTAAACAGCTTGGAAAATTCCAGAAAATGATGTCATGGCTTTAGAAGCTTCTGATAGGCTAATTGACATAATGTGAGTCAATTGGAGGTGTACCTGTGGATGTATTTCAAGGCCTACCTTCAAACTCAGTGCCTCTTTGCTTGACATCATGGGGAAATCAAAAGAAATCAGCCAAGACCTCTGAAAAACAATTGTAGACCTCCACAAGTCTGGTTCATCCTTGGGAGCAATTTCAAAACGCCTGAAGGTACCACATTCATCTGTACAAACAATAGTACGCAAGTATAAACACCATGGGACCACGAAGCCGTCATACCGCTCAGGAAGGAGACGCGTTCTGTCTCCTAGAGATGAACGTATTTTGGTGCGAAAAGTGCAAATCAATCCCAGAACAACAGCAAAGGACATTGTGAAGATGCTGGAGGAAACAGGTACAAAATTATCTATATCCACAGTAAAGCGAGTCCTATATCGACTTAACCTGAAAGGCCACTCAGCAAGGAAGAAGCCACTGCTCCAAAACCACCATAAAAAAAGCCAGACTACGGTTTGCAACTGCACATGGGGACAAAGATTGTACTTTTTGGAGAAATGTCCTCTGGTCTGATGAAACAGAAATAGAACTGTTTGGCCATAATGACCATCGTTATGTTTGGAGGAAAAAGGGGAAGGCTTGCAAGCCGAAGAACACCATCCCAACCGTGAAGCACGGGGGTGGCAGCATCATGCTGTGGGGGTGCTTTGCTGCAGGATGGACTGGTGCACTTCACCTAATAGATGGCATCATGAGGAAGAAAAATTAAGTGGATATATTGAAGCAACATCAAGACGTCAGTCAGGAAGTTAAAGCTTGGTCGCAAATGGGTCTTCCAAATGGACAATGACCCCAAGCATACTTCCAAAGTTGTGGCAAAATGGCCTAAGGACAACAAAGTCAAGGTATTGGAGTGGCCATCACAAAGCCCTGACCTCAATCCAATAGAACATTTGTGGGCAGAACTGAAAAGTGTGTGCGAGCAAGGAGGCCTACAAACCTGACTCAGTTACACCAGCTCTGTCAGGAGGAATGGGCCAAAATTCACCCAAGTTATTGTGGGAAGCTGGTGTAACTGAGTCAGGTTTGTAGGCCTCCTTGCTCGCACACGTTTTTTCAGTTCTGCCCATAAATGTTCTATAGGATTAAGGTCAGGGCTTTGTGATGGCCACTCCAAATTCTTGACTTTGTTGTCCTTAGGCCATGGCCAATGGCCAAGACCAGAGATCTGTGTAAGGACATCAGGGATAAAATTGTAGACCTGCACAAGGCTGGGATGGGCTACAGGACAATAGGCAAGCAGCTTGGTGAGAAGGCAACAACTGTTGGCGCAATTATTAGAAAATGGAAGAAGTTCAAGATGACGGTCAATCACCCTCGGTCTGGGGCTCCATGCAAGATCTCACCTCGTGGGGCATCAATGATCATGAGGAAGGTGAGGGATCAGCCCAGAACTACACGGCAGGACCTGGTCAATGACTTGAAGAGAGCTGGGACCACAGTCTCAAAGAAACCCATTAGTAACACACTACGCCGTCATGGATTAAAATCCTGCAGCGCACGCAAGGTCCCCCTGCTCAAGCCAGCGCATGTCCAGGCCCATCTGAAGTTTGCCAATGACCATCTGGATGATCCAGAGGAGGAATGGAAGAAGGTCATGTGGTCTGATGAGACAAAAATAGAGCTTTTTGGTCTAAACTCCACTCGCCGTGTTTGGAGGAAGAAGAAGGATGAGTACAACCCCAAGAACACCATCCCAACCGTGAAGAATGGAGGTGGAAACATCATTCTTTGGGGATGCTTTTCTGCAAAGGGGACAGGACGACTGCACCGTATTGAGGGGAGGATGGATGGGGCCATGTATCGCGAGATCTTGGCCAACAACCTACTTCCCTCAGTAAGAGCATTGAAGATGGGTCGTGGCTGGGTCTTCCAGCATGACAACGACCCAAAACACACAGCCAGGGCAACTAAGGAGTGGCTCCGTAAGAAGCATCTCAAGGTCCTGGAGTGGCCTAGCCAGTCTCCAGACCTGAACCCAAACCTGAAGGATCTGGAGAAGGTATGGAGGAGTGGGCCAAAATCCCTGCTGCAGTGTGTGCAAACCTGGTCAAGACCTACAGGAAACATATGATCTCTGTAATTGCAAACAAAGGTTTCTGTACCAAATATTAAGTTCTGCTTTTCTGATGTATCAAATACTTATGTCATGCAATAAAATGCAAATTAATTACTTAAAAATCATACAATGTGATTTTCTGGATTCTTGTTTTAGATTCCGTCTCACAGTTGAAGTGTACCTATGATAAAAATGACAGACCTCTACATGCTTTGTAAGTAGGAAAACCTGCAAAATCGGCAGTGTATCAAATACTTGTTCTCCCCACTGTGTGTGTATACATATATATATATATACATACATACACACACACATGTATTTATAGTCCGGACTCCGACATTGCTCTTCCTAATATTTCTTAATTCCATTCTTTAACTTTTTAGATTGGTATGTATTGTTAGATATTACTTCACTGTTGGAGCTAGGAACATAAGCATTTCACTACACCTGCAATAACATCTGCTAAATATGTGTAGGCGACCAATGAAAATTAATTTGATTTATCTACCAGAGGAAATATATTATACTATGTTGTAAAGATGAGAATTGGACAAACCAAGATTGGGGGAGGAATAATGACAATGGTTTTGCATTCAGTAAGAGGCTAGCTAGTTTACCTCTAGTACATGTAGAGCTGACTGACACAGTCATGACAGTATTTAACTGACCTGTTGGTAGTGTGCGTGTGAGCTGAAGGGTTTATAGCGCAGGGTGGGCAAATCTGACCCCTGACCTCTGGCCTCTGGGGGGGTCATGCTGCTCATGGTGGGGGTTCGTGGCTGCTGTGGGTTACCATGGCGCCCTGACCCCCCCGCTCGGCTCGTTGACCGAGGGGTGGGGGGTCCAGAGCAGGGAGGGGGGAGGGAGAGGAGGGGGCAGGAGGGAGATACAGAAGAAGGGATGAGGAGGGAGAAGGGGAGGGTTTGAGTTGTGGGGAAAGGGTGAGGAGAGGGAGAGGGCGTGAGGAAGGAGGGGAGGAAAGGGGGAGATGACGTGAGGGAGGGGGGGGGAGAGGGCGTGAGGCAGGTGGGGAGTGCACACACGTTTCCCAGAGCGACGACACTGAGGAGCAGTCCAAAGAGGACCTCAGAGAGACCACCCACTGCAGACAGCTGCAGAGAGAGAGGAGAAGGAGAGAGGGGGGAGAGAGAAAGGTGTTATAATAGTGTTATCATACATTTTCTCTTGCGAACACTTCAAAAGGTGTGAAGTATTCTTTTTACACTGATTCTATATGGAGGCCAACACATGGAGGAGGACATCTTCTGTATATATAACACATCCACAGACACACAGCTATACACCCACAAACATTCAGCTAGGGGTTTGAACCTGCAACCCTGTTGTCAGTCGGTCAGTCAGGTCATCTCTAGGACATTAAGGTCCAAATCACTGTTCATTAAACAGCTCAGCTCAAACTCTCTTTTCTCTCGTCTACAGTCAGATGAACTTGATACTGTATTCAATTGCCTTCGATCGAGCGCACCACCGGGGGGATTTCAGAATACAGGGTTATTATGAATGAGTCCAGGTTCATTCTGAATAAATAACCTAACTCCCATGCAGCCTGCTGCTTTCGCCAGAAGAGCTCTATGGTTCTCCGGTTTCATGGTAGATAGGCAACCTGGGGCGGGTGGGTCTGGGCTGGTTGTCTCACTGTGCTGCTGATCAGTGCATTTGGAGCGAGACGGAACGGGCCCAGCTCCATATTGGATGGATCTCCATTCATCAAGGACCGGTGCTTGTTGTTACTTGAAACGGCTGGAGATGCCATAACTGCCCGCTCTGCAGCTGCTAAACATGGTGTCTGTCTGAGCTGGAGTCCCTTCTAGCCACAGAATAGAAACATGACTTACCCCTAATTCTAAGAGTGTAGGCTGACTTGAGGAACCCTGTAGTTCCTCAAGGAACCATTGCAGTCAATGGGTTCATATTTTCACCTTTGATTAGTTGAGGGGTTCTTGGAACAACCTTTAATGTTTCAATATAGCAAAGGGTTAACATGATGAACATGAATAACATTTACTCTCACAGGGTAGACAAAAATAACTAAAAGTCATGCCTCCAATCTTCTGATATGCTGTTGCCCCTACATTATATTATTGAAAAGGTTCAAAATGGAACCCCTTGAATCACAAAAAGGTTCCTGTTTTAACCTTTACACTGGGGTTCCTTGAATAACCTTTTCAGAGAGGTTCCTCAAGGAACCTTTTTGACCTCAAAAAGGTCAAAAAAGTGTGGCAATCTTTTGAACCCCAAAAGGTTATTTGAGGCTTTTTTCCTTCTAAGAGTGTACAACACAGACGCACAGAGATAGACAGTGCTATCTGTAATAAGGAGAATGAGTATAATAGTGAGCACCCCAAAAGGGAAGTCCTGTTCTGCATTGCGCCATTAAGCTGCATGTAGTAGAGCTGGCTCCCTGGGATGTTTTGGTGGCACAAATAGCTCCCATATCGCTGTTAAGATAATCATGTTTTTGCGCAATTCAACATTTTGCACTTGTAATTGCAACATCTTGCACTGTTACACACACATGCCGTATGCTATTTTACGCACCATGTAGAGCAGCACTCCATGCCCCAAGTATGGAGCCTGTTTATTTACCTTGGAGATGGTTCCTGTCCCGGGCTCCAGTGTTCCTTTCCAGGGAGAGAAAATATCCCCGAATGTCTTTGTGTTAAATCATTTATTAATTTGGTCATTAACTCCGAATAGACAGCCTCTTCTAACCGACGGAGGAATGTGTCGGTAAAGACGTCGGCGTCCTCTCTCTCGCTCTCTCCAGCAAACGGAGGTAGTTGTGTTACGTCCGCCAACGAGTAGAGCGAAGGCTCCACCTCCTCAGCTCTGAGGTTCTTCCAGTAAACACACACACACATACACACGCACACACACACACACACACATACGCACACCCACACGCACGCACATACACACGCACGCACACACACACACATTCACACACGCTTTTGGCAGATTGCCAATAAATAATCAGCGCGTGACCTTTTACAGGACGATTCCCGTAGCTATTGGCTGGTGAGTCCTCCCGTCCCATGCACTCAGCGGTGCTCTGCTCTGACAAGGTGAAACAGTTGAAGTCGTTTGTTTAGCCTACCCTTGAGGAAAACCATAATTCAAGCCTGACTGACAACCAGCCTAGAGACTAGCCTACTGCACTTACAAGCAAAGTGTTACACAATACACCATTTAGACTGATTTAGATCTGGGACACCAGGTGGGTGCAATTCATTATCAGGTAGAACAGAAAAACAGCAGGCTCCGGACCTCATAAGGTACATTGAATAGCCTACACCTACCGTAGGCTATAATGTACTCCAATAAATCAAATCCAAATCAAAGCAAATTATATTGTGCCGAATACAACCAGTGTAGACCTTACCGTGAAATGCTTACTTACAAGACCTTAACCAACAATGCAGTTTAAGAAATAGAGTTAAGAAAATATTTACTAGAAAAAATAAAGTAAAAATAAAATAAAAAGTAACACAATAAAATGTGTATTTGTATTTATTACGGATCCCCATTAGCGGCTGCCAAGGCAGCAGCTACTCTTCCTGGGGTCCAATCACAATTTACATACAATAAAACAATACATAACACAAACACATTATTACACACTACTCTACCATAAAATATTTACAATACAAAATCAATAATACAGCAAAATAACAATATTTAAATGTGTGTATAGAGTTACCATGTGTTTGCGAATGCTGTTTGTGTGCCTGTGTGTCTGTCTCGTCACAGTCCACGCTGTTCCATAAAGTGTAGTTTTATCTGTTTTTTTAAATCTGATTTTACTGCTTGCATCAGTTACCTGATGTGGAATAGAGTTCCATGTAGTCATGGCTCTATGTAGTACTGTGCATTTCCCATAGTCTGTTCTGGACTTGGGGACTGTGAAGAGACCTCTGGTGGCATGTCTTGTGGGGTATGCATGGGTGTCAGCTTGTCAACACCTCTTAAAAAAACAAGCAGTGATGAAGTCAATCTCTCTTCCACTCTAAGCCAGAAGAGACTAACATGCATGTCATTAATGTTAGCTCTCCGTGTACTTTTAAGGGCCAGCCGTGCTGCCCTGTTCTGAGCCAACTGCAATTTTCCTAAGTCCCTCTTTATGGCACCTGACCACACTACTGAACAGTAGTCTAGTGTTGTTGTAGTGACATTAAACCCCTACAACTCATCCAGAATGCCGCAGCCCGTCTGGTGTTCAACCTTCCCAAGTTCTCTCACGTCACCCTGCTCCTCCGCACACTCCACTGGCTTCCAGTTGAAGCTCGCATCTGCTACAAGACCATGGTGCTTGCCTACGGAGCTGTGAGGGGAACGGCACCTCCATACCTTCAGGCTCTGATCAGTCCCTACACCCAAACGAGGGCATTGCGTTCATCCACCTCTGGCCTGCTGGCCCCCCTACCTCTGCGGAAGCACAGTTCCAGCACAGCCCAGTCAAAACTGTTCGCTGCTCTGGCACCCCAATGGTGGAACAAGCTCCCTCATGACGCCAGGATGGCGGAGTCACTCACCACCTTCCGGAGACACTTGAAACCCCACCTCTTTAAGGAATACCTGGGATAGGATAAAGTAATCCTTCTACCCCCCCCCACCCCCACAAAAAAAAAAATATATATTGTAAAGTGGTTATCCTACTGGCTATAAGGTGAATGCACCAATGTGTAAGTCGCTCTGGATAAGAAATGACGTAAATGTAAATGTTAATGTTAAGAAGTTGGAGCAACGCTTAATTATGGACATACAGTGGCTTGCAAAAGGATTCACCCCCCTTGGCATTTTTCCTATTTTGTTGCCTTACAACCTGGAATTAAAATGGATTTTTTGGGGGTTTGTATCATTTGATTTAAACAGCATGCCTACCACTTTGAAGATGCAAAATATTTTTTATTGTGAAACAAACAAGAAATAAGACAAAAAAACAGAAAACTTGAGCGTGCATAACTATTCACCCCCCCAAAGTCAATACTTTGTCACGCCCTGGCTCTTATATGTTGAGCCAGGGTGTTAGTTTATATGTGTAGTGTCTATGTTTTGTTTTCTATGTGTTCTTTTCTAGATCGTGTGTTTCTGTGTTGGCCGGGGTGGTTCCCAATCAGAGGCAGCTGTGTCTTGTTGTCTCTGATTGGGAACCATACTTAGGCAGCCTGTTGTGCACTTGTCATTTGTGGGATCTTGTTCCGTGTAGGTTTGTGTTTATCGAGGACTTCACGTTTCGTTTTGTTGTTTTGTTGTAGTGTGCAAAGTACGCATTAAAAGATGTACGCATATCACGCTGCGCCTTGGTCCACTTATTACGACATTCGTGACATACTTTGTAGAGCCACCTTTTGCAGCAATTACAGCTGCAAGCTCTTGGGGTATGTCTCTATAAGCTTGGCACATCTAGCTACTGGGATTTTTGCCCATTCTTCAAGGCAAAACTGCTCCAGCTCCTTCAAATTGGATGGGTTCCACTGGTGTACAGCAATCTTTAAGTCATACCACAGATTCTCAATTGGATTGAGGTCTGGGCTTTGACTAGGCCATTCCAAGACATTTAAATGTTTCCCCTTAAACCACTCGAGTGTTGCTTTAGCAGTATGCTTAGGGTCATTGTCCTGCTCGAAGGTGATCCTCCGTCCAAGTCTAAAATCTCTGGAAGACTGAAACAGGTTTCCCTCAAGAATTTCCCTGTATTTAGCGTCTTCCATCATTCCTTCAATTCTGACCAGTTTCCCAGTCCCTACCGATTAAAAACATCCCCACAGCATGATGCTGCCAACACCATGCTTCACTGTGGGGATGGTGTTCTCGGGGTGATGAGAGGTGTTGGGTTTGCGCCAGATATAGCATTTTCCTTGATGGCCAAAAAGCTCAATTTTAGTCTCACCTGACCAGAGTACCTTCTTCCATATGTTTGGGGAGTCTCCCACATGCCTGTTGGCGAACACCAAACGTGTTTGCTTATTTTTTTCTTTAAGCAATGGCTTTTTTTCTGGCCACTCTTCCGTAAAGCCCAGCTCTGTGGAGTGTACGGCTTAAAGTGGTCCTATGGACAGATACTCCAATCTCCGCTGTGGAGCTTTGCAGCTCCTTGAGGGTTATATTTGGTCTCTTTGTTGCCTCTCTGATTAATGCCCTCCTTGCCTGGTCCGTGAGTTTTGGTGGGCGGCCCTCTCTTGGCAGGTTTGTTGTGGTGCCATATTCTTTCAATTTTTTAAATAATGGATTTAATGGTGCTCCGTGGGATGTTCAAAGTTTCGGATATTGTTTTATAACCCAACCCTGATCTGTACTTCTCCGCAACTTTGTCCCTGACCTGTTTGGAGATCTCCTTGGTCTTCATGGTGCTGCTTGCTTGGTGGTGCCCCTTGCTTAGTGGTGTTGCAGACTCTGGGGCCTTTCAGAACAGGAGTATGTATACTGAGATCATGTGACACTTAGATTGCCCACTGGTGGACTTTATTAAACTAATTATGTGACTTCTGAAGGTAATTGGTTGCACCAGATCTTATTTAGGGGCTTCAAAGCAAAGGGGGTGATTACATATGCACGCACCACTTTTCTGTTATTTTATTTAAATAATTTTTTGAAACAAGTTTTATTTTTTATTTCACTTCACCAATTTGGACTATTTTGTGTATGTACATTAATGAAATCCAAATAAAAATCCATTTAAATTACAGGTTGTAATGCAACAAAATAGGAAAAATGCCAAGGAGGGTGAATACTTATGCAAGGCACTGTACTTCTCCCCATCTTAGCTACTGTCAATATGCTTTGACCATGACAGTTTACAATCCAGGGTTTCTCCAAGCAGTTTAGTCACCTCAACTTGCTCATTTTCCACATTATTCATTACGAGATGTAGTTGAGGTTTAGGGTTTAGTGAATGTTTTGACCCAAATACAATGCTTTTAGTTTTGGAAATATTTAGGACTAACTTATTCCTTGCCACCCATTCCGAAACTAGCTGCAACTCTTTGTTAAGTGTTGCAGTTATTTCAGTTGCTGTAGCAGCTGACGTGTATTGTGTTGAGTCATCCGCATACATAGACACACTGGCTTTACTCAAAGCCAGTGGCATGTTGTTAGTAAAGATGGAAAAAAGTAAGGGGCCTAAACAGCTGCCCTGGGGAATTCCTGATTCTACCTGGATTAAGTTTGAGAGGCTTCCATTAAAGAACACCCTCTGTGTTCTGTTAGACAAGTAACTCTTTATCCACATTATAGCAGGGGGTGTAAAGCCATAACACATACGTTTTTCCAGCAGCAGACTATGATCGATAATGTCAAAAGCTGCACTGAAGTCTAACAAAACAGCCACAATCTTTTTATCATCAATTTCTCTCAGCCAATCATCAGTAATTTGTGTAAGTGCTGTGCTTGTTCAATGTCCTTCTCTATAAGCATGCTGAAAGTTTGTTGTCAATTTGTTTACTGTAAAATAGCATTGTATCTGGTCAAACACAATTGTTTCCAATAGTTTACAAAGGGTCGGTAACAGACTAATTGGTCGGCTATTTGAGCCAGTAAAGGGGGCTTTACTATTCTTAGGTAGCAGAATGACTTTTGCTTCCCTCCAAGCCTAGGGGCACATACATTCTAGTAGGCTTAAATTGAAAATATGGCAAATAGGAGTGGCAATATCGTCCGCTATTATCCTCAGTAATTTTCCATCTAAGTTGTCAGACTTACCGAGGTTATATACAGGGGGTACCGGTACCGAGTCAATGTGCGGGGGTACAGGTTAGAAAGCAGTGTTTCCCAAACTCGGTCATGGGCCGCCCTGGGTGCACGTTTCTTTTTTTCCCTAGCTCATCACAGCTAATTCAAATAACCAAAGCATGATGATGAGTTGGTTACTTGAATCAGCTGTGTAGTGCTAGGGCAAAAACCAAAACGTGCACCTAGGGGGGCCCATGACCGAGTTTGGGAAACCCTGCTGTAAGGAACCCTACTTAGGGTAGTTTATCTTTGCAATAATAAGGTGCCCATAAAGCACCCTCAAAGTCAGGTCCCGGACAGAACCACCCGGCTCTGTAGTCCAGACCTCGACCGCTCGAGGTCGCGCTAGAACTGTCATTTTATTTATTAATACAGACAAATAAGTAATTTACAGTGTGTGTGGCGCATTCAGTTACACTTAAATAATGTGTATACATAGATTTCTTTAATCCAGATTCTGCTCTCAACTAAATTTCAGTAATAGTTGATTTATAATACAGCTGTACCCCGATGCACATAGGTTGAACATTGTGTGTAGAACATTTTATGCATGTGCAGTGCGCATGTCCTCGTTTCAGTGTGCTGATAAAGTTGGGTTGATTGAAACGGATGTCATGATGGCGGCTCCCATGTCGTGGAGGAGGTTGGCGTACTCTGTGTACACACCGGCCCTCACCGGGGTTTTCACCCGAATATCAGACCGATTGTTCCGCACACGGGATCGGAGGAGAGGGTAAGATACGACTGTTGTAGACGTGGAGAAAAAAAGAGAGACACTAGTTTTCTTCGTCAGACGTAATGACAGCGCTATCATGTCTTGCGGTGCCAGCGACGTGTGCGTGCAGCCTGTCTTTACGTGCACAGTGTTTCCGTGATTTTTTTCGTAATGTCATTTTGATAGCGTGCGTCAAATATAATTGAGTAATTTTTTTCTGTTGCAATCGTTGATCTGATTGTCATTGCTGTTGCGTGCGAATAGTTTCGTAATGTTACATGCTCATGTCAAGGTTACATAATAAACAAACGTGCAAGTCAAGTTCAGGCAGTAGATATAAACTTTGCAAAACATTCTCTGTAGGCTAGATGTAGCGCGATATGAGACTTCCCTTCCAGTTTCTTTAGGCCTTATCTGTGAATTCGCCTCTTCCTCTCCTTGTGTTGTCAAGTCTCTGCATGTAGAGTAAGAGTGACTCAAATTCTCAGAATGAGGAAATATCTGTTCTTTTTGTGATTTCCTGAAAACCTGATGGCAACAACTGCCAGATGTCTGTCCACACCTGCATATAGTCTGCGTCAGTTTTACATCATCTTAAGTAACTAATACCATAGTATCACACACACATACACAGTCTCTGGCCAAGGCTTAGCTGTGAGTACCAAGGTCGGGGTTGTAGGCTGTCATACAGGCGTGAGATCAATCCCAGGCGGTCAAAACTACTCCTCATCCAGGGATGCGTCCCAAATGGCATCCTATTCCCTATTTAGTGTACTGCTTTTGACCAAGGCAAGTAGTGCATAGGGTGCCATTTGGGACAACTTTAAGCTTTATCTTCATTCCCATAACCTGAGGCGGCTATCGTGACACCTAGACTAGCTAGGCTACATGGGACTTTTAATAATGATAATAATAATACTTGGTATTTATATAGTTGATGCTTTTCAAGGACCAATATAGCACGCTCATGGCCATAGACAGAACACAGTTCATGGCACCCTAGAGGCTTAATTTGGCTACACATGATATCACATCTCTATTCACTGCAGCTGAGAGACAGATGAGGAGAGGGAGGCACTTGCATGTATTCATGGTCATATTCATTAGGGCACACCGTAGCGAAAGTGAAAAAACGAAAATGAGCCTTTCGTATTGGTGAAGTTCAAGTGGTCCCTCCATGTTTCAGTCCGTTTTCTTCCGTTTGGTGCGTAATGATGGGAATGAATGACACATCTGTCTGACTGTGGCTTAAAGGAGAGATGGAAGAGAGGAGGGTTGTGTTGCCTGTTAGCTCTAATCAGAAACCGTGTGAATGGAAGGCACATGATCTCAATTTACCTCCCGGACAAACACGTACAATGGCAGCCACATGTACTCACAACTAAAATGGCTTGCCTCTAGCTGTCACCGGTATGCCCCTATTGCACAAACTATTTTTTCATCAATTTCCCCAGCACATGTCTCCGCTCTCTAAGATCTAACCTCATGATATTCCCACTGTTCTACAAAGAGTTAATTTAGTGTGTTATATCTCTAAGACCCTGTATTCCAGTGTACTTACACCCATCCAACCTTTGCCCAGTGGTAAAACAGGGGTATAGTATTGTATACTTAGCCTATATGGATAGGACACAGTTGTTGGCCCACCATAATAAAGATAATACTTCATAAGGAAATCCCCCTTGCTCTTCCATGAAAGGATGGTTCAACCCGTAGGCTATATAGCTATTGGTTCAAAACAGCAGTGGTGCCACATCTCTATGTGACTCTGCTGTTTGATGTTTATGTTGATTGTTTTGTCTCAGATGGGTTTGTGGGTTGAACCCACACTGTAATTCCCTCCCTGCTATTGTTCCTCCCTAACTCTCAACTCTCTGTCCTGAATGAACCCTGGGGGTGCATCCCAAATGTCACGATATTCCCTGTACTACTTTTGACCATGGCCCATAGGGAAAAGGATGACACTATTACGTTAGCATCGTCTATCGACGATGGTTGACAGCCATTTCTTGATGGTGTCATCGTGGCGTGACAGACTATGGTTAAGCCTATTTGATCTTGACTGGTGCCGCGCAGTAAAAAACAGTCTCGCAGGGCAGCACACAAGTAACATTCAAAGTAATTTGCCTATTCCTATTTGCTATAGCCTAATTTAAGAAATACCTTATATAGCCTACATAATCAGGTGAGGAATGTAGGCCAGACAGACAAAAGCAGTGCAAAATGTCCATTTAGAAAGTAGTTTGTCTGTCAGATGCATGGGTATTAGGCTGTAGCTGTTATAACGGACACTCCTTAACTATCTTCTGGCTACCTGTGGAAAAAAAAGAGGCCTGTATTCCCATTTCTCTCCATTTGATAGGCTATGAATATGACGGAAGGCTACGCTTCTTCGTTTTATGTGTGGCTTTTTCCCGATCAAACAATGAATGTAACGGAGTTCCATCTCAAAGTTATTTGAATAGCCTAAAAACATAAGGTAGCCTAGAGGACTAATAATGAACAAACAATATCAATAGCCGGAAAAATCCCTCAATGCAATTTTGAAAACCAAATTGCCAATAACCGATCCTCCTACTAGGCCTATCATAAAAGACACGTTAGTTATGAACAGTAGCTTATTTCCCAAATATTCTAGCCTATGAAGGTGTTGTCCTAGTTGTTGTGGCTTTAAAAAATAACAAGAATGAAAGTCTATAGCCTAAGCCTAGGCTATTCTCAATCACAGGGATAGTACAGACAATATTATTTATTTTTCTATTTTATTAGGCAAATAAAGCAATTATTATCCAGTTCTGAAGACGGTAGATTGCTTCTATCCAGCCCATGATGTAGGCCTATAACCTAGCTCACTACGGTAAATGGCCCATTCCTCATCACTGCTCCATCATGTGCGCGACACACACACAAACCTGTTCTGCTCCTCCAACAGAAAGAAATATTAGAGAAGATTTGCCATTGCCTGCACTTAGCCGCTGCCCAGGCTTTCAACAACGTTATCTTTCGTCATGATTTGTCCAGTTGCATTTGATTTTGCGCTATAGCCGAACTGTCGTTTTACAAAGAAATCCATTATTTGGGGGGGGTGGCCTCATAGGGGCGACATCATTATGTCCCAATGTTTTATGGGTACATAATCACAATAGGACAAAGGTTGACATCACCCAACCCTAGTATAGGGTGTCATTTGGGGGACAGCCTCAGTGAATGTCGGGGTGAGAAATCTGTCAGGAGTCAAATACAGGGATATTACTGCATGTGGAATGACCTCTGAGGGTCACAACCTTTACAGTAGGTTGGGTCCTCCCTTCTTTTGTCAGTCTGCTAGTTGCGTTTTAAAGACAAAGTCACAGACCGAGCAACAATACAGCCATACTGTCATGAACCCTAGTGCTTGGCTGAGAATCACAGGACCTGTGTGTGTTACTCAACATTAGCTCTAGGGATGGGGTTAGACACACATACACCAGCAATATGACTGAGCCCTCTGTTGTAAGAGATTTCAGTAAGTGTGATAAATCACAGTGAAAATGAAGGAGGAGAAGGTGGGGGGTTGGATGAGAGTTGTTTATCAATAGGAGGCAATCACCACTCCAGCTGTAGACTCATTTCTCTCTCCCTCTCTTTTTCCCTCCACGTCTCCCCACCCCCCTACCTCTCTCTCTTCCAGGTCATCCGTGTTGCTCTTAGCCCCTCTCCTAGCGGCGGCAGACCCCTCTCCCCTTCCTGTCTTCAGGTCCCCTGGGTCGACCGGAGTTCAGGGCACCGATGGCCTCCATACCCGCTTCCGCTGGATGGCAGAACACGTGCCCGCCTTCAGGGTGCCCGGCACACACATCCACATCCTCACATCCCCTGACCAGTTCTACCAGACCATGAAGGTAAGGTGTGGTGGTGGGGGGGGAGCTTTCTCTAAATCATGTGATGTACTAAAAATGGTGTAATAAACATTTCCCAAGAACAAAAAATGAGGAAAGGAAATAATTGATTGTTCCCTCCAACACAGTGTGCTCTTTATACCACAGTGGCATTCAACCATACAGTGGGGAAAAAAAGTATTTAGTCAGCCACCAATTGTGCAAGTTCTCCCACTTAAAAATATGAGAGAGGCCTGTAATTTTCATCATAGGTACACGTCAACTATGACAGACAAATTGAGAAAAAAAAATCCAAAAGATCACATTGTAGGGTTTTTTATGAATTTATTTGCAAATTATGGTGGAAAATAAGTATTTGGTCAATAACAAAAGTTTCTCAATACTTTGTTATATACCCTTTGTTGGCAATGACACAGGTCAAACGTTTTCTGTAAGTCTTCACAAGGTTTTCACACACTGTTGCTGGTATTTTGGCCCATTCCTCCATGCAGATCTCCTCTAGAGCAGTGATGTTTTGGGGCTGTCGCTGGGCAACACGAACTTTCAACTCCCTCCAAAGATTTTCTATGGGGTTGAGATCTGGATACTGGCTAGGCCACTCCAGGACCTTGAAATGCTTCTTACGAAGCCACTCCTTCGTTGCCCGGGTGGTGTGTTTGGGATCATTGTCATGCTGAAAGACCCAGCCACGTTTCATCTTCAATGCCCTTGCTGATGGAAGGAGGTTTTCACTCAAAATCTCACGATACATGGTCCCATTCATTCTTTCCTTTACACTGATCAGTCGTCCTGGTCCCTTTGCAGAAAAACAGCCCCAAAGCATGATGTTTCCACCCCCATGCTTCACAGTAGGTATGGTGTTCTTTGGATGCAACTGAGCATTCTTTGTCCTCCAAACACGACGAGTTGAGTTTTTACCAAAAAGTTCTATTTTGGTTTCATCTGACCATATGACATTCTCCCAATCTTCTTCTGGATCATCCAAATGCATTCTAGCAAACTTCAGATGGGCCTGGACATGTACTGGCTTAAGCAGGGGGACACGTCTGGCACTGCAGGATTTGAGTCCCTGGCGGCGTAGTGTGTTACTGATGGTAGGCTTTGTTACTTTGGTCCCAGCTCTCTGCAGGTCATTCACTAGGTCCCCCCGTGTGGTTCTGGGATTTTTGCTCACCGTTCTTGTGATCATTTTGACCCCATGGGGTGAGATCTTGCGTGGAGCCCCAGATCGAGGGAGATTATCAGTGGTCTTGTATGTCTTCCATTTCCTAATAATTGCTCCCACAGTTGATTTCTTCAAACCAAGCTGCTTACCTATTGCAGATTCAGTCTTCCCAGCCTGGTGCAGGTCTACAATTTTGTTTCTGGTGTCCTTTGACAGCTCTTTGGTCTTGGCCATAGTGGAGTTTGGAGTGTGACTGTTTGAGGTTGTGGACAGGTGTCTTTTATACTGATAACAAGTTCAAACAGATGCCATTAATACAGGTAACGAGTGGAGGACAGAGGAGCCTCTTAAAGAAGAAGTTACAGGTCTGTGAGAGCCAGAAATCTTGCTTGTTTGTAGGTGACCAAATACTTATTTTCCACCATAATTTGCAAATAAATTCATTAAAAATCCTACAATGCGATTTTCTGGAGAAAAAAATCTCAATTTGTCTGTCATAGTTGACGTGTACCTATGATGAAAATTACAGGCCTCTCTCATCTTTTTAAGTGGGAGAACTTGCACAATTGGTGGCTGACTAAATACTTATTTTCCCCACTGTATGTGTGTGTGTTTGTCTCTTTCCGTGGTTGACTATTTGTTTGAGTTTGAATTGCGTACAGGATGTGTGTGTTTGTGATAGACGGCTTGAGTCACCGGCATCAACCCCCTCGGGCACAGCAAACAGAAAGCTGTTTATTTGGCTGTGTTGGAACATTAGGAAACAGTGCATGTGACTCACCTGATTGAGAAATAATGACTAGGCTGGAAGAAGATCAGACTACGTGTGTGTGTTTGAGGTCTTTGGATTTTTTTGGGAGGGAGTTCAAGCCCCCTGATGAAGCCCTCTAGTTTGTGTCCTGTAATGCCTGAATTTACTGTAATTTATTTTTCTGTTCAGGCTCGTATAAAGACAGCTAAAAGGCGAGTGGTGATGGCCTCACTGTATCTGGGTACAGGGCCACTGGAACAGGAGCTGGTGGACTGTATGCAGGAAGCTCTGGAGCGTTCACAGGATGAGGGTGACAACCCCGACCTGCAGGTCTCCATTCTACTTGACTACACACGTGGCTCAAGAGGTGTGTGTGCGTGTGTGAGAGTGCCATATTACTCTTACCAAGTTGTGTGTCTGTCTGTAACCCTTCTGTCTCTGTGTGTCTAGGTAAGACTAATTCTAGGACCATGTTGCTGCCGTTGCTGCAGCAGTACAGCAGTCAGATGCGTGTATCTCTGTACCATACCCCTGACCTGAGAGGGCTGCTCCGGCTCCTGGTCCCACAGCGCTTCAACGAGACCATCGGGGTACAGCACATCAAAGCTTACCTGTTTGATGACGACCTCATCATCAGCGGGTACGCGCACGAACACACACACACACACAGTTGGTGTTTTTCTCATACAGTAGCTGTTGCTGATGTTTATTGGTTTCTCTCTTTCGACCATTTCCCTCTCTCTCTTCCTCTGTCCTCCTATCTCCCCCCTCCCTCCCTCCACAGGGCCAACCTGAGTGACTCGTACTTCACAAACAGACAGGACCGCTACGTGCTGCTGGAGAACTGTGGGGAGGTGGCCGACTTCTTCTCTGATCTGGTGGGCGCCGTGGGAGACGTGTCGTTACAGCTACAGACCGACAACTCTGTGAGCATGATGTACGGCATGGTGCACCCCTACAGAGGTATAAAACGCACACGTAACACAGACCCTAAGTGCGTGACTCGTTGCTCAGTTCTGCCTGTACACTCTCATTATGTAGTGTAATGTGTTGTTCTTGGAAAGGTTAATGGAATCGGATTAGCTGCAAATGTAGCCTGTTCCAGTTCAGACACACAGTGAAATCAGCGAACTGGCGTGTGTGTGAATGAGAGAGTGGGAGGCAGGAGAGTGAGGGAGAGAGCTGAATGACATGTCTGCAGAACCGGACTGCAGTTGGCACGGAGACCAGAAATAGAGCAGTGATGTCAGAGTTGCTGGTAAGCAATACCGAGTGGGAAGATCACACACACATTATAATCATTAGTGAATGAAGTTCCCCAGCTGAAACAGTGTTAACTTTACAGTAAAAGCACGTCTTTAGAATGAACTCAAATGCTGAGCCTACAGCTCTCTCTCTCTCTCTCTCTCTCTCTCTCTCTCTCGTGTCATGTCTGTGCGTGGACCCAGCCGCCAGGCGTAGTCCAGATATTGACCCACAGCCGTCATGCCCAGAACTAAATGACCTACTGTACTTTACACACTCCCCTGCTCTACTGCACACTGTGTGTGTGAGATCTCTCATTCAACGTTTGCTGAGGTGTATGGTTAAAGCTAGAATCCTTAATTGAAACAATAAGAAAGGGGTCACCCCGCCTGTGTTTTGGTAAAAAGCTTATGGATGGGCCTGGAGAATGTTAGCACCCTTACATTTATAGACATCGCTGTGGTTGCAAGGACTGACCATGAAATCGACATTATAATTTTAACCATGTTTTTTGTTAAACTAAGCTCATGAGGCATTTATACGTTTTATATTCTTCATGAATTAATTGGTGTATATATCATTAATTTAAAGTCCTAAAATGGATTCTAGCTTTAACCAGATCGGTCTGTTTCCTCTCCTCTTACCATCCCTACATTCTTTTGTCACTAGGCAACAGGGATGATTTCTCGGCGTCGGCTCGGCAACACATCATGGAGGTGGTCAACACTGCTCGCACGCGGCAACACATTGCAGAATCAGAACGTTTGGAGCGGGAGAGCGAGGGGGAGGAAGGAGGGAAGGAGGATACATGGGTTTTTCCTCTAATTCAGATGAAACCTCTGGGAATACAGGTGGATGAGCAGATCACACAGGTGGGTACACACAAACATGCACCCGGACACCACTACCCTCACCAACTAATATTGGACAAACAACTTCCATTGCACATGATGTTACCTTGTAACATTGTTTTTGTATTTTTTGTTCCTGTGTGACTTAAAAATGTAAATATGGGCGCTACATCTCAACTTATTTCCTTGCAGCGGTTGCTGACAGACGCAGGTCCCGGTGCGACGGTGTTTCTAACATCGGGGTATTTCAACCTGACCAGGGCCTACATGTCGCTGGTTCTCGGGCTGGGCGCTGACTACCGGATCCTCACCGCCTCCCCGGAGGTCAATGGGTTTTTCGGCGCCAAGGGCATTGCCGGAGAGATCCCAGCGGCCTACATCCACATTGCCAGACAGTTCTACAGCAAAGTGTGTCATCTGGGACAGCATGAGAGGGTTCACCTCCACGAGTACCACAGAGCACAATGGACCTTCCACGCCAAGGGTGGGTGACACGCACACACAGAGTACAGAGAAAGTAGGCTACACACACACAATATATAATCCTTGGCCTGAGAGCCTAGATTGATTCTAATTGGTTCTACTCCATTGTGATTAGTTCTGTTTGGCTGTGAGTTATGCCCGGTAGTGATGTGAATTTTGTTGCTATGACGTTCCACGGTCAGATGGTGAGCTGCTAGGAAGCAGTGTGCATCCTAAATGGCACCCTATTTCCTATATAGTGCACTACATTTTTCACCAGAGCCCTATGGGCCCTGGTCAAAAGTAGTATACTATTTAGGGAATAGGGTGCCCTTTGGGACTGGCACAGAGTGTCTATTCCAGCCTGACAGACAGATTAGCTGGACCACGTTCTTCTGTTCTGTTCTCTGGCTCTGCTGTTCTGTCCCTGTGGTAACCTAGATATGTTGCGGGAGAGACAACGGCTTGTCAAGTCATTCACCCTTAGCCCCGGGCCAAGGAAACACACACACGCACGCGCACACACACACACACACACACACACACAGTCATTCCTTGGTTTGGCTAGACTTTGGGGGTTTCTGTGCTTTAGTGTTTTCTTTATAGTTGTGGGCATGGCCAACGGAAACCAAAATCCCCATTTTGAAACAGCTTATAAACAATGCTCTGACAAATGATATCTAAACTACTGCCAACCTGCACTTTTCTTTCGCTGATACTTATAGAATCAAAAGGCAATGTGTCCAAAATAAAGAATATTCAACTTTAACTGAAATGTTAGAGATGCATTAGTAGCTAGGTAAGTTGTTTATTTTTATTCAAAAGACCAAAGTCTTGTAAAATGTAGCCAGAGAGAGAGCTGGGGAGAGGGAGTGGGAAATGAAAACAGTGAAGAGAAGTCCCTTTTATTAGATGAAGCAGGGCGGGCCGGCGCTTTCCCGTAAGCACAGCAAGCACTGCAGGAGCGAGAACAGTGGGGGAGAACACACACAGCACCCAGCTGGGGAGCGAATCAATGAACATTAGAGTAGAGCACACCCTGACCCCCAGCTGCAGAACAAACCACTGATGTGGGGAAACTGTTCCCCTTTTCCCTCCGTCTTGTCTTCCTCCACCTGTGTGTGTGTGTGTGTGTAGGGTTGTGGTACTACCTGCGGGGGCAGGTGCGGCCATGCCTGACACTGATTGGGTCTCCTAACTTTGGCTATCGATCTGTGCACCGGGACCTGGAGGCCCAAATCGCCATAGTAACAGAGAACCAGGAACTACAGGCCCAGCTGCAGGAGGTAGGCCATTCAAACCGACAACTTTATTTAAACAGACTTGATGGCTCAATACTGTGGCTCTGCTTTATACAGCTCTCAACCAAAGGCCTGTCTACAAAATTCAACTGGTCTGATAGTTCCTAGTATAATAAGCTATGCTGAGCTGGCATATGCAACACAGACTGAGATTGAGCTAGGAGGGAAACCTGTTCAGGAACTTGTACTAAATGTCTATGTGAGACAATGGAAGCTTCGCTACGTCTCTATCGCTGTCTCTCTCACACACGTGTACACACACTCTCATACACACACAGGAGCAGGAGATGTTGTACCAGAGGTCTACAGAGGTGTCCAGCTCTACGTTCCAGCAGCCAGACCGCCACGTCAAACTGTGGGTCAAACTGGTTACTCCCCTCATCAAGAACTTCTTCTGAGACGCATCCTAACACAGGTAACACGCACAGACAAGAGCGCACAGGCGCGCACACAGTGTACTAATCCAACACAGGTACCACACCCACATACTCCCACTGAACGATCATCTCTTAGTCACGCACAGAAGTACAGACCCTGTCAGTCCAGAATGGCAGAATGTCATCAGTCACTGCTGTTTGTACCAGCCCTCAACCCAAACTCCAATCCTAGCTTCAATCTAGCCCTGCCCTAGGCCACATCAACCTCAGAAACTAAACCCAGCAACCCTTGCTTGAATCCTACCCCTACCACACAGACCTTTATCCATTATACATGTAGAGGAAGCTCCCTCCTCAATGTCCCGTCTCTCTGAGAGAAACTTGACCACTCAGCTGAGTGCATCAAGATTTTGCAGTCAGCATCTGGACCAATTCAGCTGTGAGTGAGAGAAAGGAATGTGAGTTTCTCCTCCCTCTAGTTAAATCCCCTCTCATTTTGGAATTGTGGTGATGATTTGACAGATAGCGTATGCAGTGGGGTCAGAGGGAGGCTAAGAGGGTGACCTGATGTGTGTGTGTTCTAACAGGGATGTAGAATTGCCTAGTAGGAAGTGCTGAGTTAAATTTTTTATGGTGACTGTAAATGGTGAATGGGAGGTGTCTCGTGTAACCACAACATGTCACTCAGTGAGACAAAGTGTCAGTGTGTCTGATCAGCTGCCATGAGGGAACAATGATGGATGGGGCCCACACATTCCTCCTCACACTCTCAAAACTGACACCACAAGCATGCTAGTACATGAAGAAAAATGCTATAGAGTTTGTTTTTGTTACTCTACAATCAGTTCTGGTAAATGATAAGAATTTAGAAATGGAAATTGAAACACACATAGTGCACCTCACTCACTCACTCACTCTCACTGAGCATGTGAGGTGGGATCAGGGTCACTAAAGGTAATTGACCTTTGAACGACCTTGTCCGCGAAACAGCGTTATCTATGGACATCCGATATTTTTAGAATATATATTGTATCCAGTGCTTAATTTGAGGAACAGGATCCGGCACCTCTCAGATTTGTCTTAGTTCGTTCCGGCACCTATTTTCCTGGATCCAGTACCTTACGCCGCATGAATTATTGTTTCACTGTGGGCACTGTAAACATTCTAATAAAAGCGATCAGAGTGAAATTAAATTGCCTCCTCGTTATTTCTCCCGCCCCCCCAGAAAACCATAATGTAAAAGCACAGGGATCTTTCTGTATTATCATCCTATCCTGCCACACTGATTCCAGATCTGCTGTCTTATTTGTACATAGATGTTATGGGGAGGGCTGGTGGGGTAAGTAACTGATCTTGATACAGGTCTTGGTAGTGGTGGTCAGCTAGTGAAAAGGTCCCTACGTAAACACGTCATGTAGCCTAGGCTAGTCGTCTCCCTACTGAATTTAAAACATGAGAAATCCCAAAAAATAATTGATAAGATAAGGCAATAGTTTGTTTTTCAAATCCCAAAGTCCAGAGAAAGAAGGCGAATCGAACACGAAACGAGCCAGAGAACTGTCAGTGCCGGAGGAGAGGAGTGAGGGGCAAACTCCTCCTGATGGCAATGCCTTAGCTAGCAGCGCTGCTAATCCCGCCAGTTCAGCATCACCACCGGCACCTCCACTAGCTAGTAGGCCTACTAGCAAGTCAGACTCGACTGGAGAGGGAGACGGGGAGCCGGGTGGGACAGTGCATCCACCGACGAAGTGCTCGGAGCAGGTGCAATTTGGACGGAAGCTCAGTTCAAGAACAAACCCGCATAAACCCTGGTTTGTCATGCAAAATTCTAAGCTGGGCTGTACAACATGCAAAAAGGTAGGGAGCATGGGTCTAGAAAAGACTGGAGGGATTAAACTAGCAAAAGAGTGGGTGGAATGTACAGGAATGTCCACTGCCTCCATGAAATTAAAAACCACAACAAAGAGCCCTCAGAAAAAAAGGTTTTTGAACATGCCCGAACCACAGCACATTTAGTGGTAGCAAGCATTGTTGACGAGGCTAGAGGACACCCAGGTTATAGTTAACACTCATGGAGGCTAACTGTCACAGCCACATGGCTTTAAGCAAGAAATTGACTGTCAGGAGTTAAATGGACTTGACATGGGAAGAGTCATTATGGGACGTTTTGATATCTTAAATTACACTGAACAAAAATATAATACAACATGTAAAGTGTTGGTCCCATGTTTCATGAGCTGAAATAGAAGATCCCCAGAAATGTTTGCATATGCACAAAAAGCTTATTTCTCTCAAATGTTGTGCACAAATTTGTTTACATCCCTGTTAGTGAGCATTTCTCCTTTGCCAAGATAATCCATCCACCTGACAGGTGTGCCATATCAAGAAGCTGATTAAACAGCATGATCATTACACAGGTGCAATTTTGTCACAACACAATGCCACAGATGTGTCAAGTTTTGAGGGAGCGTGCAATTGGCATGCTGACTGCAGGAATGTCCACCAGAGCTGTTGCCAGAGAATGTAATGTTAATTTCTCTACCAAAAGCCGCCTCCACTGTCGTTTTAGAGAATTTGGCAGTAAGTCCAACATGCCTCACAACCGCAGACCATGTGTATCCATGCTAGCCCAAGACCTCCACATCGAGCTTCTTCACCTGCAGAATCGTCTGAGACCAGCCACCCGATGAAACTGTGGGTTTTCGCAACAGAAGAATTTATGCACAAACTGTCAGAAACCGTCTCAGGGAAGCTCATCTGCATGCGCGTCGTCCTCACCAGGGTCTTGAACTGACTGCAGTTCGGCGTCATAATTGACTTCAGTGGGTAAATGCTCACCTTCGATGGCCACTGGCACACTGGAGTAGTGTGCTCTTCACGGATGAATCCCGGTTTCAAATGTACCAGGCAGATGGCAGACCGCGTGTATGGTGTCGTGGGCGAGTGGTTTGCTGACGTAAACGTTGTGAACAGTGCCCCATATATTTGTCATTTAGCAGACGCTCTTATCCAGAGCGACTTGCAGTTAGTGAGTGCATACATTTTTTCATACTGGCCCCCTGTGAGAATCGAACCCACAACCCTGGTGTTGCAAACGCCATGCTCTACCAACTGAGCTACACAGGACCATGGTGGGGATATGGTATAGGCAGGCATAAGCTACGGACAACGAACACAATTGCAATTTATCGATGGATATTTGAATGCACAGAGATACAGTGACGAGATACTTTGGCCCACTGTCGTGCCATACATCCGCCACCATCACCTCATGTTTCAGCATGATAATGCACGGCCCAATGTCGCAAGGATCTTTACACAATTCCTGGAAGCTGAAATGTCCCAGTTCTTGCATGGCCTGCATACTCACCTGACATGTCACACATTGAGCATGTTTGGGATGCTCTGGATTGACGTGTACGACAGCGCGTTCCAGTTCCTGCCAATATCTAGTGACTTCGCACAGCCATTGACGAGGAGGGGGCCAACATTCCACAGGCCACAATCAAACAGCCTGATCAACGTTATGCAAAGGAGATGTGTTGCACTGCATGAGGCAAATGGTGGTCACACCAGATACATACTGATTTTCTGATCCACACCCCTGCCTTTTTATTTTAAGGTGTCTGTGACCGTTTGCCAAAAGGCACCTAAAGGACTCTCCAGACCATGAGAAACAAGATTCTCTGGTCTGATGAAGCCAAGATTGAACTATTTGGCCTGAATGCCAAGCGTCACGTCTGGAGGAAACCTGGCACCATCCCTACGATGAAGCATGGTGGCGGCAGCATCATGCTATGGGGATGTTTTTCAGCGGCAGGGACTGGGAGACTAGTCGGGATCAAGGGAAAGATGAACGGAGAAAAGTACAGAGAGATCCTTGATGAAACCTGCTCCAGAGTGATCAGGACCTCAGACTGGGGTGAAGGTTCACCTTCCAACAGGACAACGACCCTAAGCACACAGCCAAGACCACGCAGGAGTGGCTTCGGGACAAGTCTCTGAATGTCCTTGAGTGGCCCAGCCAGAGCCCAGACTTGAACCTGATCGAACATCTCTGGAGAGACCTGAAAATAGCTGTGCAGCGACGCTCCCCATCCAACCTGACAGAGCTTGAGAGGATCTGCAGAGAAGAATGGGACAAACTCCCCAAATACAGGTGTGCCAAGCTTGTAGCATCATACCCAAGAAGACTCGAGGCTGTAATCACGGCCAAAGGTGCTTCAACAAAGTACTGAGTTAAGGGTCTGAATACTTTTTTAAATTACATTTGCAAACATTTCTAAACTGTTTTTGCTTTGTCATTATGGGGTATTGTGTGGAGATGAGGGGGGAAATCCATTTTAGAATACGGCTGTAACGTAACAAAGTGTGAAAAAAGTGAAGGGGTCTGAATACTTTCTGAATGCACTGTATGCATATGGCAGGTGTTCTGCATTGACATCAAAGTGTTGGTGTAAGAAATTCGGACTTGTGTATGCCCCACTGCTATACTCGAGTATGTGGGCATAATATAGGCTATGGGTCAGTTTCAAGATGGCGCCAATAGACATGGCCACCCTGTTTCTAGCTCCTACACAACTTTGCAGTATTTTTTTATTTTATTGGTTATTTCTCACATTATTAGCCCAAAACGTTTTTGGGATATCGGAGCGGTGGTAACTCTCACCAGCATTTCAACCAGATGCAAGCACTACACCCGCAATAACATCTGCTAAATATGTCAATGCGACCAATCAAATTGTTTTTTATTTTATGCAAAGTGTGGGTGTTTTGCAGTGATGTCTTGTAGCACGCTGTCAATTTCACCACCATAGTCTTCTACTTGACTGTTTACTCTGCCTGCTGCGCTGCTACGTTGTGTTTGTGACTTTTCTTCTCATGAGACCCCCGTATAACCCCGCCCCCTCGGATAACCCCGCCCCTCTTGCGCTCATTATGTGATCCGGGACCTCCAGATTTACAAATTAGCACTGATCGTATCGTTGGAACAACATCGCAATATTATTGTTGGCTGTACTTGCACCAAAACTGCAGTATTTTTCCTTCATAGCTTGTTCTCCATCTTCTTTGTTAACAGGGAGACAATTTTGTTTTCATCACTTTTATTTTCGTAACTGATCAAAACTTATTTTCTCATGGCTCTCTTGTCCTGCTACAGCAGACAATTGGTTTGGAACATCGAATCGCAGTAAAATCACAGTATGGACTTGTAATACATATAAAATCATGAGAATTGCAATACATATCGCGTCGGCACCAAAGTACCATGATAAAATTGTATTGTGAGGTCCCTGGCAATTCCCAACACCACTGTGGTATCCGGTAATGTGCCTTCAGAAAGTATTCATACCCCTTGACTTTTGTCTTACAGACTGAATTCAAAGTGGATTAAATAATTTGTTTTTTGTCACCCATCTACACACATTACCCTATAATGACAATGTGAAATCATGTTTTTAGAAGTGTTTGCAAATGTATTAAATAAAATGCAGGAATCTCTTTTACATAACTATTCACACCCCTGAGTCAATACTTTGTAGAAGCACCTTTTGGCAGAGATTTTAGAGCTGTGAGTCTTTCTGGGTAAGTCTCTTAAAATGAGCTTTCCAGACCTGGATTGTGCAACATTTGCCTTAAAAAAAAAAAAAAAAAATGCTTCAAGTTGTCAAATTGGTTGTTGATCATTGCTAGACAACAATTTTCAGGTCTTGCCATAGATTTTCAAGTAGATTTAAGTCAAAACTGTAACTCTTGGTAAGCAACTCCAATGTAGATTTGGCCTTGTGTTTTAGGTTATTGTCCTGCAGAAAGGTGAATTTAATCGCCCAGTGTCTGTTAGAAAGCAGACTGAACCAGGTTTTCCTCTAGGATTTTTGCCTGTGCTTAGCTCCGTTCCGTTAATTTTTTTATCCTGACAAACTCACCAGTCCTTAACGATTACAAGCATACTCATAACATGATGCAGCCACCACTATGCTTGAAAATATGGGGAGTGGTACTCTGTGTTGTATTTGATTTAGCAGAAAACAACTTTTTGTCTTGAAAATAAAGTGTTAATTTCTTTGCCATTTATTTTGCAGTATTACCTTGTTATTATTGGAATATTTTTATTCTGTACAGGCTTCCTTTTTACTCTGTCAATTAGGTTAGTATTGTGAAGTAACTACGTTGTTGATCCATCCTCAGTTTTCTCCTATCACAGCCATTAAACTCTGTAACTGTTTTAAAGTCACCATTGGCCTCATGGTGAAATCCCTGAGCGGTTTTCTTCCTCTCTGGCAACTGAGTTAGGAAGGATGCCTGTATCTTTGTAGTGACTGGGTGTAGTGATGCGCCATCCAAAGTGTAATGAGTAACTTCACCATTCTCAAAGGGATATTCAATGTATTTTCTTCTTTGTCTTCTACCAATGGGTGCCCTTCTTTGCGAGGCATCGGAAAACCTCCCTGGTCTTTGTGGTTGAATCTGTGTTCGAAATTCAATGCTCGACTGAGGGACCTTACAATTAGCTATATGTGTGGGGTACAGAGATGAGGAAGATATTCAAAAATCCTGTTAAACACTTATTGCACACAGTGAGTCCACACAACTTATTATGTGACTTGTTAAGCAAATGTTTACTCCTGAACTTATTTAGGCCATAACAATGGGGTTGAATACTTATTGACTCAAGACATCAAAAACAATAATTATATTTCGACATTATGGGGTATTGTGTGTAGGCTAGTGACAAATCTCAATTTAATCTATTTTAAATTCAGGATGTAACAACAATGTGGATAAATTCAAGGGGTGTGAATACTTTCTGAATGCACTGTAAGTCTGTGGTTGTAGTTTAAGTACTTAGCTGATATCTGGTGATCTGGCAGAGTAAAAAAACAAGCCTAGCTCTAACAATAGCTGAGGGGTTAAAGATAGATTTTCTTATATACAGGAGTTCTATTGTTACACTGTGCTAACAGTAGGCTGGAAGCTCGCCAATAAACAAACCTCACCTTATCACTGAGGTGTGTGTATGCGTGCAGGCAGGTGTGTACTGTACTGTGCCTCTGTGTGTACTAGCTGGTAGAGGTTGGAGCTTCCTAGGAACAGTGAGAAAGCTGTACTGTGATACATCTTTCTCCCACACACATCCTTCTCCCACACGTCCTCTTACCTCACTGATAGCTGTATTCAGCATCACATCCCTCCAACAGACATGGATGACAGGAATCTTTTATATCGTAGTTTTTTTTAGCAACATTGATGTTTTTGTTTTATTTAATAAAGTATTTCAGATGAAAGTGCTCTGAGTCTGTTTTTGTGTTTCTCTCTCCTCTCTGTTAAACGCTGAGCAGGAAGCAGACTGCGGCCAATACCCACTTGGCAGGCTTCTCCTTGGTCTTGAGGTTGAAAGTCCAGATGAAGGTGGGGCCCCTCATACGGGTCTTGTAGACGGGACACTCGTTGTACACATTCTTGGTCTCCTGATGGTCCACCGGTACAGCCTTGATGAAGATCACCGGCATGTTGGGGGTCAGCTCCTTCAGACGAGTGTCTGCTATCATCCCTGACTGGGTGTCCCAGCGCACCCCTGCACCCACATGCACACAACCAGACACACACACAAACACCGTATAAAGGATTGAACGTAGTAACATCTGTCGTCACTCCAACCCCTGTGACTGACTCTCTTCATCGCCACGTGTGTTTGTGTATATCTACAGTACTGTATAAACGGACCACTTAGTTTACCAATGCCTGAGATCTAGCACTGAGTTTTTACTGCTGTGTGTTTTCATTGAACTACAAACATTTACCATGTATAGACCAGCAGGAGGAACTTAAACATGTTTTGTACAGTCAATAAACTCTCAGTAGTTCTATATTGACAGAGTGAAATCTGGTACATGATGAGTGAAGAGTCTGTGTGACGGTAAATAGCCAGGTGTGGTTCTGAAGGTAAATATACAAGTGTGAAGGTGACTAGATAGGTGTGTGTGTGGAGTGTTGAGATCCCTGGAGGAGCCTTAAAGTGAAAATCCACTTAAATATATTTTGCATCATGATGTGGCCGGTAACACTTTGCTTCTTGAAAACTTGAATGCAGACATGCAAAACATTTTGGGACTGTATCAACAGTGGACTAATACATTTTTTTTTGTGGATTTTCCCTTTTAAGGACAATTGAGATGCGAACTGCGGTATTAGTGTTTACTACTCTACCCAGCTCATACAGTGAGTCACCCAATTAACTGAACTGGACTGTGTGTGTGGCTGTATGACTATCTTTGCAACCTCAAAGAGCATGTGATTTGAGCAGTGGAGGCTCCGCAGAGGAGGAAGGGGAGGACCATCAGTGAATTTCATAAAAATTGTTAAACATTGCATTATTTTTCCTTTTTAGATGAAACTATACTAAATATATTCACGTCACCAAATAATTGATTAAAAAACACTGTTTTGCAATGAAGGTATACAGTATCCTCAACAGCACTGTAGGGTAACGCCATGGTGTAGCCGGAGGACAGCTAGCTTCTGTCCTCCTCTGGGTACATTGACTTCAATACAAAACCTAGGAGGCTCATGGTTCTCACCCCCTTCCATAGATTTACCCAGTAATTATGACAACTTCTGGAGGACATCCTCCAACCTATCAGAGCTCTTGCAACATGAACTGACGTGTTGTCCACCCAATCAAAGGATCAGAGAATTAATCTAAATGTAGTACTCAAAGCATAAGCTACAGCTAGCTAGCACTGCAGTGCATAAAATGTGAGTAGTTGACTCAGAGAGAGAGAGAAAGACAATAGTTGAACAGTTTTCAATAAATTAATTTATTCAGAGATGAAGGAGAAGCAAGAGAGAGATTTCATTTTTTTCAGTTTCACTTACTTAGCATCCCTCTGTTTGAGTAACTAAACTAGCCAGCTGCATTTGCTAGCTATGTTAGCTAGCTGGCTATGACTATCCAACACAACACTGGAACTCTTCCAAGTCAAGGTAAGCTTTTGGTTTTATTAATTTATTGCCACCGTGGCCCACCGGTGTAACTGCTTACTGACTATACACTAACGTTACTGCATGATTGTAGCGGGTTTACTAACGCATTAGTTTATTTATTTTTTATTTTATTTTGTCATTTAGCAGACGCTCTTATCCAGAGTGACTTAACCCTAATTGCTCCTGTAAGTGCCTTGCTCAAGGGCACATCGACAGATTTTTCACCTAGTCGGCTCGGGGATTAGAACCAGCGACCTTTCGGTTACTGGCACAACGCTCTTACCCACTAAGCTACCTGCCGCCCTATGTTGACTAGGACGTTATTAGCTATGTTGACTAGGACGTTACTTTCGCTAATATGGGGAAAACAATGTAGGCTGTGTGTAGCAGTTATGACATGATTTGGCTTGGAACGTTTTTTTCGCCTGCTCACATACAGCTGATGTGTTGTTCCTTTTAGTCCACAAACAAAGGGAAAAGGTGAGAGGAGGAGAGTGCATAGAGGCAAGAAGGAATACAACATGGCTACTATGAAAGTAAACTGTGTTTATGCGTGATCAGAGGTGTATTCATTCCGCCGACTCTGTTGAAAAAAGTTTCTTAAACAAAACGGGGATAAAAATGCCTGAATTTGTCCAATAGAAACTCGTTTGCAACTGTTGTACTAATGATTACACCCTAGATAAGCTAGATGCAGGCAAGAGTGTGTAAGGCTGTATGTGTATATATATATATATATATACACACACACACACACAGCATTCGGAAAATATTCAGACCCCTTGCAATTTTTATTAAAAATAAAAACAGAAATATCTTATTTACATAAGTATTCATACCCTTTGGTATGAGACTTGAAATTGAGCTCAGGTGGATCCTGTTTCCATTAATCATCCTTGAGATATTTCTACAACTTGATTGGAGTCCACCTGTGGTAAATTCAATTGATTGGACATGATTTGGAAAGGCACACACCTGTCTATATAAGGTCCCACAGTTTACCGTGCATGTCAGAGCAAAAACCAAGCCATGAGTTCGAAGGAATTGTCCGTAGAGTTCCGAGACATGATTGTGTCGAGGCACAGATCTGGGGAAGGGTGCCAAAAAATGTCTGCAGCATTGAAGGTCCTCAAGAACACAGTGGCCTCCATCATTCTTAAATGGAAGAAGTTTGGAACCACCAAGACTCTTCCTAGAGCTGGCCACCTGGCCAAACTGAGCAATTGGGGGAGAAGGGCATTGTTCAGGGAGGTGACCAAGAGCCTGATGGTCACTCTGACAGAGCTCCAGAGTTCCTCTTTGGAGATGGGGGAACCTTCCAGAAGGACAATCATCTCTGCAGCACTCCAACAATCAGGCCTTTATGGTAGAGTGGCCAGACGGATGACACTCTTCAATAAAAGGCATATGACAGCCCGCTTAGAGTTTGCCAAACGGCACCTAAAGGACTCTCAGACCATGAAACCAAGATTGAACTCTTTGGACTGAATGCCAAGCGTCACGTCTGGAGGAAACATGGCACCATCCCTATGGTGAAGCATGCTGGTGGCAGCATCATGCTGTGGGGATGTTTTTCAGCGGCAGGGACTGGGAGACTAGGATCAAGGGAAAGATCAACGGAGCAAAGTACAGAGAAATCCTTGATGAAAACCTGCTCCAGATTGCTCAGGACCTGATTTGATTTGATTTTACCTCCGACTAGGGCGAAGGTTCACCTTCCAACAGGACAACGAAACTAAGCACAAAGCCAAGACAACGCAAGAGTGGCTTCAGGACAAGTCTTTGAATGTCCTTAAGTGGCCCAGCCAGAGCCCGGACTGCTCACTAACACTAAATTTGAGAGAAATAAGCTTTTTGTGCGCATGGACATTTCTGGGATCTTTTATTTCAGCTCATGAAACATTAGACCAACACATTACATGTTGTGTTCATATTTTCGTTCGTGTACAAAACATTAAGGACACCTGCTCCTTCCATGACATAGACTGATCAGGTGAATCCAGGTGAAAGCTATGATCCCTTATTGATGTCACTTGTTAAATCCACGTCAGTCAGTGTAGATGAAGGGGAGGAGACAGTTTAAAGAAGGATTTTTAATCCTTGAGTCAGTTGAGACATGGATTGTGTCTGTTTGCCATTCAGAGGGTGAATGGGCAAGACAATTTTTAAGTGCCTTTGAACAGGGTATGGTAGTAAGTGCTGCAACGCTGCTGAGTTTTTCATGCTCAACAGTTTCCTGTGTGTATGAAGAATGGTCTACCACCAAAAGGACATCCAGCTAACTTGACACAACTGTGGGAAGCATTGGAGGCAACATGGGCCAGCATCCCTGTGGAACACTTTCAACACTTTGTAGAGACCATGCCCCGATGAATTGAGGCTGTTCTGAGGGCAAAAGGGGTAGCAACTCAATATTAGGAAGGTGTTCCTAATGTTTTGTACTCTCAGTATATGTGTTGAGCTTTAAAGATTGTTTATTTGTATGTGTTGGGCTTTAGCTGAGATTCTTCTTTACAGAGTCAAGTATATTTGTCCAGGCCTCAATTTTCCCATGACTAGCACCATTCATTCTCGCTGTCGATAATTCTAATGTTATAACTTCTAATAGTAACTGTATCCACTGGCTGATTGGGAGAGAGTGGGGTGATTGCTATCTAAGAGCCAAAAAAATTTTTTGCGACAGTGCTGCCTGCTAATAGTAATTGTCTCTGATTAGTTGAGAGTTTCAAGGAGCTATCATCGTTAAGTAACATAGCAGTTGCAACGCATTTCATATTTACGTTCATGCACTACTAAATTAATTTGGTAACTTTGTCCCAGAAGCATTTAACTGCAGGGCACTCCCATATCATATTAAGGAATGTGCCTGCCTTATTTAGGGGACACAGTGAAAAGTTGGGAGTTGGGGCCAATTTCATCATACATTTCTTCCGGGGTGTTAAGTACAGTCTGTGAACAAATGTAAAATGTATAGGTTGATGGTTCGGCAAAGGTAATATTTTTCCATATTCTGTTCCAGTTAAAGGGTTGTTTAGATTCACTTAGATCTGTGGACCATACTTTTTTAATTGCTAGCTCAGAAAATGAACTTTCCAAAAGTTGTTTATATATTATAGAGATCAGTCCTTTCAGGAGCCCAGATAATTGTTTTATAAATAAAAGAGAAACTTGGTTATATAAGTCTGTGGTTGAAGCGCTTCGCTGCTATCTGGTGATCTGGCAGAGGAATAAACAAGCCTAGCTCTAACAATAGCTGAGGCGTTAAAGATAGATTTTCTTATCTACAGGAGTTCTATTGTTACACTGTGCTAACAGTAGGCTGGAAGCTCGCCAATAAACAAACCTCACTTTCCCATTCAAAGGGTTATCACTGAGGTGTTTGTGTGTGTGAGTGCGTGTGTGTACTGTACTGTGCCTCTGATGTATGTACTAGCCATGCTGGTACAGGTTGCCCTCTAGTGGAGCTTCCTAGGAACAGTGGGACCGTGAGAAAGATGTACTGTGGTGCAGCAGTTTTTTCATGCTGTTTCCAAGCTCAACACACATGCTTCTCCAAGATCTCATCCAAGATGCCCTTCGCCTGTAGGGGAAAACACACACACACACACACAGGCAGAGGCACACACAGGGTCAGGACTTTAGTGGGGGGAGGATCATTAAAGGCTCTGAGGTGGAGTGACAGTGTCTGTCTCTCATACCTTCTCTCTGGACACCCCTCCCACGGCTGCGGCAGACTCTTTGGGCTGCATCTCCAGCACAGTGCGGAACAGGCTTCCTCACCATCACCTCAGAGAAGCTATCTCAGCATTGGGGTGGAGGCCGTACCTCATCTATGTACGTATAGTAGCCCTGGACACACACATTGGGGGATCCTGAAAGATTACAATATTTGTAGTTTTCAAGGGTGATGTCTTGGTGTGTAGTGAAATAGTGTGTGTTTGTGTGTTCCAAACCTTAGTCAGAGTTGTACAGGGAATCTGGGTGCGAGGTACAGCTCTCCCTCCAGCATCTCAGGTCTAACATACTCATCCAGGTAGGTAGGACACAACTTGACGTTCTACATTTACATTTTACATTTTAGTCATTTAGCAGACGCTCTTATCCAGAGCGACTTACAGTTAGTGAATACATATATATATATTTTTATTTTTTTATATATACTGGCCCCCCGTGGGAATCGAACCCACAACCCTGGCGTTGCAAACGCCATGCTCTATCAACTGAGCTACATCCCTGCCGGCCATTCCCTCCCCTACCCTGGACGACGCTGGGCCAATTGTGCGCCGCCCATGAGTCTCCTGGTCACGGCCGGCTGCGACAGAGCCTGGATACGAACCAGGATCTCTAGTGGCACAGTTAGCACTGCGATGCAGTGCCTTAGACCACTGCGCCACTCACTACCTGCTACACAGAAACCAATCAAAATCAACTTATTTCTCATTATTTCAATTCACAAGATAAAATTAACGCGAGCGTCAGCCATCGGGAATTGAACCTTGGTGATTCTTGAGCATGGACGCTGCCAGTGGCGGCTCCTGAAAAAATTCTCAGGAGGGGCAATTTTTCTGATGATTTAGGTGACCTACACACATTTTTAAAAAGATATGTCCAGCAACAACATGAAGACAGGGGCAGCATATAAGTCAATACCAGAAGCATTTATTGACTGATCTCAAAAGTGTTGGCTTACAAAAGCAAAATAAGTTATCACAGTAAAAATAATCAAGGGTGTTCTTTCACATTCCTCAACACTGCATAAACAATATGTATGGCTTTGTAAAAATGAACAACCATATTCTGGCCAATTGTATAGATTTGTAAATATGAACAACCATATTCTGGCCAATTGTATAGATTTGTAAAAATGAACATGAACAGATTTTTTATTTTTTTGAATGGCAGTACCTTTCAAACATGTCTGCTTGCAGTAAGGTAGCACTCACAAGGTGGCCAGAGAAAGAGAACCTTTCTTTGGTGTGATCCAGGATGGTGTTGCAGACCTCTTCAGACAGCCTCTGCTTCTCCTCTTCTCTCAAAGCTGTTCTGGGTCTTTTGGCTCCTGTTGCTTCTTGCAGCTGCTGTTGAGAGGAGTCCCTGAAGGCAAACAGACCAATGTGTTTGTTGGCTTTGTACAGTATTGTTGTCTATGTGATGCACAGGTATATGCAATGTATCCATGTATAGTACAAATACTTCAGTTCCACTTAAAATGGGCAGGGATGCATAAAGTCTTTAGTGTTTAAGTTAGCCTTTGTGTCTCACATAGCCTGGATGTTCAGCACAGTATACAGTGGTGCTCATAAGCTTATGATCCCATGCTAAAGTTGACTAAAAAGAGGAATAAAAAAGAAAAGAAAATTGGTGTCCTTAAAGGTTGGATTTTCCAACTTTTTTAATTAAGTCATTAAGATCAATTTCCAAAAGATGATTTTTTTTATTTTTTTATTCCTCTTTTTAGTCAGCTTTAGAATGTGTTCATACACTTATGAGCACCACTGTACAGTACACATAGTATATAAAATAAGATAGATTACACCACTGGCCATATATAATGACAATAATGTAATTTCAAACACAAATGCAGTCTCCTTTCATGCATACATTTTCAAATAAAGCTCTGCTTTGAGAAAGATCGAATGATATTGTTTAATCTTTATCTTACCTTATGGCCTGCACACTGCTTGCGAAGCTGTCGAGGGCACGTTTGATAAAGACAGCATCGATGTCCTTATTCTGTAGCTTCTGGTACGGTGGGCTGGTCAAATGAACCCAATGAACCCGTCCGGATGGCTTCAAAACATTCTATGAGGTCGTCTCGATTCTCGTAGACAGTGTTCACGACTCTGCTGTTGCTAACCTCATCGTTGTGGCGGCGGACAGCTAGCCTGTATCCCTCATCCAGTTGAGTGGCAATATTCACTCTCACCAAAGCAGACAATCTCAAACAGCTATCAATGTGGGTCTTTGACAGCTCATTTTTCTTAATCTTTTCTGAAAGATGGTGCATGTCGGTTACACCAGTCGCTGTCCAAGCGTTGCTGTCTGCCGTTCATGGTTACGTTACGTTACGTATGACGAAAGCGCGTAAGTGCAAGCCCTCAGACACCCATAGAGAATGTATTGAAAGCTCAGAAATTTGAAAAAAAAATATTTTACATTAGAGGCTATGAGAGACTTCTGGGCGATTTTCAACCTGACTGAAATCGCCCCAAAACGGGCGGGGACATTTGAAGCACGACTTTAGCCTGATTGGACATTTAGTGGCTGGCAGATCAGACGTGAACACTGAACTACTGTTGCCATGATATAATTGATTACAAAAAAAATCCCTTCCTTTTCCCGTTTGGCAGTGCGTCGCCCATATCGCCCTATTGAACACACCGCCCATGGACGCTGCCATTGGACACGACGCAACTCAAGCAGTATAGCAGCTTTCATTGATTTCAAAGGAAGCGTTCCCTCAATGGCTGATGGCAATGCTGGACGCCTGATGGCTGTAGTGTAGCAGGGCCGTAAAGCTCTAGGCTGATTGAGAGATGGTGAGGTCAGTCACACACACACTCCTTGCAGTTGGCCTCCAGGTAGTTGTGGAGCACATCGAAGGAGATGGTGAGATCTCCGTTGTTGAAGGGGTAAGATCTGTTCCAGCACTGAGTTCCAAACTTCCTTCTCTCAGCCACCATGGCGTGGAAGTAGCACAACACAAACAGGACCACCTTGAACTCTGACACATCTCCAGGGTGTCCTAATGCACACAGTGTGTGTGTGTGTGCGTCCAGGTGTGTTATCTAGTTGAAGAGATACAGGGCTTTGTGCAGATTAGCTTGCATGTTGGTGATCTTGATGCCGTTCTCCAGAAGGCCCTGGGGGATGTAGTTCAACCCTGGCATGGGTGAAGGCTCAGCTGACATGTAGTCGTCATGGCTACCCATGCTGTAGCGCTCCACTAGTTTATCCAGGCTGCCCAGCCACCTGGCCACCAGGTGGATGTTCTACAAAGGTGTCACGCCTGCTCCTGCTCATTGGACACACATGGACTTCATCACTGCTTAATTTCCTCCTCTATATCTGTCTGTTCCTCAGTTTGATCCCCGTGTCTGCATTGATGTTGTTTTGTTTCTCTGGGCCAGACGCTGTTCTTGCTTTGTTTCATGTCTATTTATTATTCAAACCTCACTCTGTACTTGCTTCCTGTCTCCCAGCGTATGTCCTTACAGAATGCAGACACCACAATTGGAAGCATCAGGGAGTTTTTTGTTGTTGTTGTTGGCGACGTCGGGTCCGGGTGCCGCTGCCGAAGCAACCGGGGATACCTCAGCTGGCTCGAGAGGCTCACAAGCCTCGGTTGGCTCGGCAGGCTCTCACCCCACGCCTCGGCCGGCTCGTCAGGTTTCCATGCCTCAGCCGGCTCGTCAGGCTCCTACGCCTCGGCCGGCCCATCTGGCTTGACGGGTTCCCGCACCTCGGCCGGCCCGGGGGGGGGGTTGTCACACCTGCTCCCGCTCCCCCTCCCTCGCGCTCGGGGGCCGCCAGGATGCCCATCATTACGCACACCTGTCACCATCGTTACATGCATCAGCGCTTCATTGGACTCACCTGGACTTCATCACTGCTTAATTTCCTCCCCTATATCTGTCTGTTCCTCAGTTTGATCCCCGTGTCTGCATTGATGTTTTGTTTCTCTTGTCCAGACGCTGTTCTTGCTTTGTTTAATGTCTATTTATTATTAAATCCTCATCCTGTACTTGCTTCCTGTCTGTCATTACAAAAGGAGAAGGTTTATTATTTAATACCTGGCAAGTAGTCTATACTGTATAGTTAGTATATAAGTAGACTATGAGGTTGTAGTTTAATAACAACCAGAGCCATATAAAGCATTAGGGAAAAAGATCCTTCATGTTGGCACAAAATATTCCATGACAATGATTGCGTCCCAAATGGCACCCTCATTCCCTTTAAAGTGAAATACGGCGTCATTTGAGACGAAGACAGTAACTTGCTGGCTGTTTATACTCCAGCCCGTGAGTAGAAAGTAAGTGGTTCCCATACAGACAGTCAGTGGCGGCTCCTGAAAAAATTCTCAGGGGGGGGGCAATTTTTCTGATGATTTAGGTGACCTACACACATTTTAAAAAAGATATGTCCAGCAACAACATGAAGACAGGGGCAGCATATAAGTCAATACTGATATACACATTACTTGCTTCAAAAAGGCCTCATGGTTGAATTGGAAATATGTGCACCTGAGCAAGCAGGAGCTTTTGATAGAGGCTACTGAAAACATTGATGCAAGTTATTGGTAATAAGAAATTTTTATAGACTTCCATATTCTGCCCTCTTGTATAGATTTGTGAAAATGAACAGTGATAGACATTTTGCCTGAAAACAGAATTTGAAAATAATTTCTAGAAAAGGTAAACACAGCTATCTGTATGGCTTTGTAAATATGAACAACCATATTCTGGCCAATTGTATAGATTTGTAAAAAAAATTGTTTACTTTTTTAAAATGAAAAATAACTATTTTAAACAACATCAACTGTGAACTGATTTGGGCGTGTGTGTGTTAAAGAGACAGACAGGGAGGGACAAAGAGAGAGAGAGGCTACATTACTTGTACTGAAACTGTTCTCTTCTCTCTTTCAATGCAGCAAAGCGGTCAATGACTTTCTCATTGAAATCAGGCATGCTGAGGACTAGTTTACTAGTTACTTTTTAGCTTGCTGCATGATCAAATTCAGCTGATGCGCATAGCAATGCACGTAATGGCCTTTCTTGAAATGCTCACGCACCTTTTGCCTTCTCTCGCCTCATCACACTGGCTCCATCGTAAGCTTGCGCAATGAGTTTGACTTTCACGTCGTCGGCAAAAAGACCGTTCAGTCTCTCCAAAAGCACACTGGCGATTGAGACTGAGGTTGATTCCGAGATGGGAAGGAACTCAAAAAAGCGCTCCTGCACTTTGTGGTTGTCTCTTTGATGTGAACTTCTTTCAAAGAGACAATCGAGTTGCACTGAACGCTATAGCCATCTTGATAGTAGTACGTGAATTGATTGATGCTGCTACCCGCTCTTTTCTTAGTTACGTTCATGGTTACGTTACGTATGACGAAAGCGCGTAAGTGCAAGCCCTCAGAAACCCATAGAGATTTTATTGAAAGCTCTGAAATTTGAAAAAAATAGATTTTACATGAGAGGCTATGAGAGACTTCTGGGCGATTTTCAACCTGACTGAAATCGCCCCAAAACGGGCGGGGCCATTTGAAGCACGACTTTAGCCTGATTGGACATTTAGTGGCAGATCAGACGTCTAGATTAGAACACTGATAACTACTGTTGCCGTGATATAATTGATTAGAAAAAAAATCCCTTGCTTTTCCCGTTTGGCAGTGCGTCGCCCATATCGCCCTAATGAACACACCGCCCCTGCAGACAGTGTACCTGCAGTATAACCCAGTGTCCCTCTACACGCTTAGAATAAAAGGTGCTAAGTAGAACCATACAGGGTTCTTCGGTTTGTCCCCATAGGGGAACCCTTTTTGGTGCTGGGTAAAACCCTTTGCAGAGGGTTCCATCTAGAACATTCTATGAAGGGTTCTACCAAGAACCATTTTATCATCTAAAGGTTCTTCCTAGATCCCTCTATGAAGGGTTCTACCGAGAACCTTTTATCTTTTGGAGGATTCTTCCTAGAACCCTCTATGAACGGTTCCACCAGCCTTATTAGCCTTTAACATTTTATTTTTAGGAATCTCCGGGTTAGGAATCTCCGGGTTTGCAAGTCACATTATGCTGGCTTGCAAAGTGATGTGTAATTCCTATTGGATTCCAGACAGAGTTAGAATATCCAACAAGTGGAATTGTTAATCACCCGCAACCTGCATTCAGAATGACTGCCAAGGTAGGGAAGATTGTCTACTGAGATTACCTCAATCATCTAAACTGGAACAACCATCTCAGTAACGGGTGCAATAAATCCAACAGATTGGATTAGTTTAGAAAACTGTATGTTATTTATCTTTGGGTAGCATAAAATTGATCAACCAATCAATGTAAATGCAAAAACACAGATATTACAGTAAAACAAACAATTCTGAAAATCTCCCTGCAGTAGAACATGCTGGGAAATATTATATATGGTTCTATGTAGAACCATTCTTGCCTTCCAAAGAATCGGTTCTTAGGATGTTAAAGGTTCTCGGTACAACCCTTTGCCTTACAAAGAACCCTTGTTTTCCAAAAAGGGTTCTTCTGATCGAAAACGGTTATTGGCAGAACCCTATCCTGCTGCAAAGAACCCTTTTTTCTAAGAGTGTAGCCACCATGTCTAGAGCAGCCTCGGCCATATCCTCCTGGCCCTGACCCAGAGACACGCTGTAGAACTTCCTGTTGTTAAAGGTGAAGCCCATCTTTTTACCTGGACCAAAGGACAGGATGGCTGGTTAGATATGAAACAGACAGGATTCAATATGCTATAGCAAGTAAGTGTGTGCGTGCTTGTGTGTGTATGCCTGCGTGCAGGTGTACAGACCTTCCACGTCATTGAGGGGGGTCGAATCCAGGGGAGAGGATGAAGAACATGGGAGTAGACAAGCTGCTCTCCTCAAATTACTGTCAAGCAATGCATGCGTTACTTTCAGAATCATATCTCTACCGGGCATGTGTTTCCATGATCCGATCTCGACTTGTTTTCTCATTTAGTTCTCGTGCAAGCTCACCTCTGATATTTGCCATTGATCGCTTCTGTGATAGCAAATCCCATGTGGTCCTCTGTAGCTCAGCTGGTAGAGCACGGCGCTTGTAACGCCAAGGTAGTGGGTTCGACCCCCGGGACCACCCATACACAAAAATGTATGCACGCATGACTGTAAGTCACTTTGGATAAAAGCGTCTGCTAAATGGCATATTATTATTATAGAAGGCTTTTCTATCTAGTGGCAAGTGTGCTCTCTGTACATCTCTATGGGTCAGTGTCAGTGGAGACCCGTCATTTTTTTGGGGTGCCTGTTTTGCATGTTATTTTGGCATTAATACGTGTCACATATCAGTTTGCAAACAATGTAAAAAATAAATACAATAATTGAGTTAATAAAGCTGCATACAAACATGGTCTCTCCAAAATGTAGGTGGTTCAGCCTAGCTCAGTGCTTTCTGTGGTGATGGGGCAGCAGCGGAAAATACGGAGCGTAGGGGTTGGTAATGTTCTCTAGTTGCGCCGTGATTTGCTCAGTGTTCTGTCACTCATGGGGACACTACGTCACCGCAAAATCTACGGGGAGAGCTCGAACATTCAAGCCCCTTGGGTGCTGCCATAGTTACATTAGAAGTGCCCATCCAAGAAGGCTCAAGGTCATTGGCCATAGATAAAATGACGTCAAATCATGTTATATCTACCGTAGCTTTGAATGGACTGATCATGTCAACATCATACTTTCAAAATCTTAGCTAGCAAGCTAGTGTAACCGGTGCTGTACTGCACGGCTGCATCTCTGGCAGCAGTGTACATACTCCTTGATGTGTCTCTCCATTGCAGGCCAGAAAAACCTCTGTCTGGTCAGGGCTAGAGTTCTAGCCTGGCCTTGATGTCCTGCAAGGTCATGAATGCCGGTCATTGCTTTGAGTCGTAACACCTCTGGTAAGACACTTTCTCCGGTTTGTGTGACTCTCCTTAATGACACGATACAGAACTCCCTCTCTTAGGATCAAGCGGTCCCACTGCTTCATCAGCAACAACACTTCAGAAGAAACATCATATCGGTCTCGTCTGGTGGGCCGTTTCTTATTGAAGACGAAAGGGATGACCTTGGAAATCACAGAGTCTTGCAGCTGGAGACCTAGAAGTTCCTCATGCGAGAGTTCAGGCAAAGTGTCAGAACCAGGAGAAAGCAGCTGTTGGATGTTGGAACCAAGCTGGATTGCTTGCATCTCCGTTGAACATTCCCAGTCAATATGGAGCTGACATATAGCTTTCACTTCAGCAGTGGTCAAGGAGGTTATCTCCTGGGGATAAGAAGCCCACCGGAAGGCATCTTGGACATCATTCAGCGTCCCAAAAGCCTCAGACAGAAGTGCTAGGTAGGACCCTCATCAGTCTCTGCACGACAGTCACTGCTGTCTGGGATACGCTTCAAATCGAAGTTGTACGGTGCAGGCTTGGCAACCCATCTTTGCTTGCAAACGTCCAGCTTGGGTTTTGTCATGATGTACGTTAACGGGTTACTATCTGTCCAGACAGTGAACTCGTGCCCCTTAAGCCAGTGACTGAATTTCTCACACACGCTCCATTTCAGTGCTAGAAATTCAAGTCTGTGTGCTGGATACCTTCTCTGCGACTTACTCAGGGTCTTGCTCGCGAATGCTATGTGCCTTGCTTTATCTTCACCTTCAGGCACTTGACAAAGCACAGCCCCGAGACCATCCAAAGAAGCGTCAGTGAAGAGAATGAACGGCCTCTCAAAATCAGGGTGAGCCAGCACGACACAATTCAGAAGAGCATCCTTCAGCTTCTGGAATGCAACGACACACTCCTCAGTCCAATCCGATAGCGTCAGCTTCTGGAAAATCCCACTGTTGCCCTTCTTCCTCCCATCTCTTCCTCTTCTCTTTTGACCCCCAGTGAGTGCAAACAAAGGCTTGGCTATGGAGGAACAATCAGGAATGAAGTGCTGGTAATATAATACCATATCCAAGAAGGATTTCAGCCTCAGAGCAGAGGGAGTGCATCCGTCTGCCTCCATCAGCTGAGCTTGGCTCATCTTGGCAATGGCCTCCACCTTCTCAGCATCCACTGACACACCGTCCTCTTTTAATGATATGTCAGACGAATTTCACTGTTCTTCGTAGGAAGTGGCATTTCTTGGGTGCTAGTTTGAGATTGTTGGCACTTAGATGGCTAAACACAACTTCAAGTCGCTGCAGAGCCAGTTCCTCGTGGGTGCAAAGACCAACAAGTCATCTAGGTAACAAAGGAGATTTGAGAAATGTAGGTCCCCAAATATACTTAACATAATTCTCATGAAAGAGGCCGGGCTGTTACACAGACCCTGTGGCATTCAATTGTACTCATAAAGTCCCATCGGTGTGGTAAAGGCTGTGTACTTCTTGTCCTCTTCATGAAATGGAATGTTATAAAATCCTAAGGTCAAGTCCATGGTGCTGAAAAATGCACTGCCACCAAGGGCTGCGAGGCAATCTGCTTGATGAGGAAGGGGATGAGCGTCCTTCACCGTTCGTGCATTCATCCACCTGAAGTCAGTGCATAACCTCAGACTCCCGTCTTTCTTCCATACCATGACTAAAGGGGAGGCATACTCACTAACCGACTTGCGTATAAGGCCTACTTCTTCCAGATCTGTTAATACCTTCCTCAGCTTCAGGTAATGAGCAGGCGGAATCCTTCTGTATGGTAGGCGGAAGGGTCTGTCATCAACCAGGTGGATACGGTGAACATAACCCCTGGCTTCTCCGCAGTCCAGATTATGTCTTGTGAAGATGTCTTCATATTTTGTATTCACAAGCTTCTCCTTCCACTGGTCAGTCACTTGGCATCCATCAATGTCGACGTATCCTAATCCTAGATCAAACAGTCTTTGTTTCAGGTTGTGGCAGCCATTGTCATCCTGCTTCTGTTCCACTGGGGTTTTCCTCACCTCATGAAGGCCCTGGAAATTTGTTGCATCCTCAACAGCCAAGCATGTAGACACATCGGCCAGCTTCATGTTACGTCTTAGAGTGAGATGTTTATCTGAAAAGTTTACTACCTTTAAAAGGACCCAGCCATCTCCCCACATGGGTGTAATAACTCTACCCACAAGTATGTTGCTGGGCATGACCTTTGACCTGGTAGGCTCGACTATTACAGTGCTGCCTGGAGACAATGCCACATCTTTAGGAAGATTACCCCAAACTAAGTGTTCAGTCTTGGGAAAAATAGTCAACTTGCTGTACCTTCCATCTTGTGACACTTGTCATCATCTGCAGAAACTGCTCACCCTCTGGTGAGTGAGTCTGGCCATCCATGTTGTTGACTAGCTTCCAATATTCGTCAGTGCCCTTCATCTCATGCAATAGATGCTTAATGACATTCAATCACAGGATAAGATCATCACACTGTCCAGGAACAACTAGGGTGGGCACTTTAACATCAATCCCATAGATTTGCATCTCCAAGTCATAGAAACACTTTGAGGCCTTCTTCCCCCCACAACCAACTAACACTAACTCTTTAGGAGGCTGATATTGCTGAGGAAGGGCACCTGCTTCCAAAAGTCTCTGCTCAGTATGTTCACTCAATGTACAGGCCATAGACCCAGTGTCAAGCATGCCCTACACTGCACTTTCCCATGTACAGACACAGAGGTGTAAAACAAATCTGAAAAAGCCTCAACCTCTTGTGAACCTAACATAACAATTTTCTCTCCTTCTTTCGCATCAGAGCACAAAATCTCATATATTTTCTCAAGATCATCAGATTCTTTCTTGGGGGTAGACAGTTGAACACCCCCATTTCCCCCCTTCACCTGTGGGCGTTAAACTGACACTCAGTTTAACAGTTGCTGCTGTGGTGGGTTTCTCTGCTGCTGTGTTGGGCGTCTCTCACCGCCGGGATTGGCATAGCGTTCCCCCTGTTTTGGACAATTTGACTTCCAATGATCTGGAGAAAAGCACCAGAAGCACAGGTTCTCATGTTTACAGTGCATCACAGTGGAGTGATCTGTTGAGCCACAAACCCTGCATTCCCTACGCCTGAAGGGCTGTGAAACCATAACAGGTGGTAAGCTCTTCTCTAAGGTACGTTCAAGCAGGTGAATGAGCCTCTCGATACTTGCACTCTGCCCATCTTGTGTCACTGCACGCACCAGCATTGGCCCCGCCTTCAAACAGAGTTGTCTGGGGATGTACTGTTACTTGCTTTGAGGATACAGCAGTAGAATGACACATAGTGGCCTTTCTGCGGCGTTCATGTTCATAGATTCTCTCCTGTACTTCACTCGCAGTCCATTTCTCAGCAGACTTGTATTGGAATACTGCTGCCAGTTTGGGGTCAGGGCAGTATGTTACAAACATCTGAGTTGGAGCTGTCAATCTTCTTACCTTGTCTCTTAAGACCCTCGTCAGCGACATCTACGGCCTTGTTCAATCGAACCCAATACTCCATAACAGCCTCTCCGGGTACAAGTTTAGTATTGTACAATTCAGCTAAAGGCATGCATGAGTAGGCCAATTCGCTGAAATTCTGTTTCAGAATGTCAAATGCAATCTCTGGCTTCTTTTTAGGATCAACAGTTGTCTCATTGCGTAAATGTATCTTTACCATGTCTCTTGCTTTGCCAGATAATCGACAAATCCTCTCATCCCATTGTTCTCCAACAGGACATCCCTTCCTCCTCAAGTATATTCTCATCAACTCCTCCCATTCATGAATGGAGCATTTGTCTGTACCATCTCCTCTATATGTAGGAGGTTCCTTCACATCTGATTGCATGATGAACTTCATTTTACTGAGGTCTACATATCCTGCTGACTCTGATTGATGATCACTTATCTTCTCTGTACTTACTGGTGGCTCATGAGTGCCGGACCTGCCACTCTGTATTTCCTCCCTAATGGAGCTCCCTATTTCCCGGGCTAGCTGAGTGACCAGCTCAGCTAAACCATCTACAGGGGCATTTTGATTAACACTAGATGAAGGGCTTTCATCAGTATTTTTAGTGGAGCAAAACATGGGGGAACCTACTGCATCTACACGCTTTACAGGGGTTTGATCAGGGTATGAGAAAAACCTCCCCCTCCCAGCAGTGATTTTGGATTCATCATCACCAATATAAGATGCCATGTCACTAAACCACTGTTATGTTAACATTTCTGTTGATGAACACACTTCTATATTAGTTAACCATAAACAGCATTCTCAATACATCGTTTTCAGAAAAAAATTAACAGGAGAGAATATAGACTGCAGATCCGCTTTTTGCCACAATGCGGCAGGAGTACCTCAATGATGTAAACAGAGTCTCTAGAGCAGCAGCGCCGTGGTGATTAAACTGACGTCGATCAACGATGAATCCGGGTTTAGAAGGCACCAATGTAACCGGTGTTGTCCTGCCTGCTATAGCTCTGCGTTGTGTGTGATTGATTGGGACTATAGACATGGACTTCGGGGATCAGGCTGTTTTAATAAATCAGAATTCTCTCTGCATCCAAAAGAAAAGACAAAACATTTGTAGAGCACAAATATGTTCTGCCCATTGTCGCAACTTTCTCTCATAGTGCATCAAAATTATTTTTAGAATACAAAAATGAGTACAGCCTCTCCTTATAATGTATCAACACCATGGGCGGTGTGTTCAATAGGGCGATATGGGCGACGCACTGCCAAACGGGAAAAGGAAGGGATTTTTTTTCTAATCAATTATATCATGGCAACAGTAGTTCAGTGTTCACGTCTGATCTGCCAGCCACTAAATGTCCAATCAGGCTAAAGTCGTGCTTCAAATGTCCCCGCCCGTTTTGGGGCGATTTCAGTCAGGTTGAAAATCGCCCAGAAGTCTCTCATAGCCTCTAATGTAAAATATTTTTTTTTCAAATTTCTGAGCTTTCAATACATTCTCTATGGGTGTCTGAGGGCTTGCACTTACGCGCTTTCGTCATACGTAACGTAACGTAACCATGAACGGCAGACAGCAACGCTTGGACAGCGACTGGTGTAACCGACATGCACCATCTTTCAGAAAAGATTAAGAAAAATGAGCTGTCAAAGACCCACATTGATAGCTGTTTGAGATTGTCTGCTTTGGTGAGAGTGAATATTGCCACTCAACTGGATGAGGGATACAGGCTAGCTGTCCGCCGCCACAACGATGAGGTTAGCAACAGCAGAGTCGTGAACACTGTCTACGAGAATCGAGACGACCTCATAGAATGTTTTGAAGCCATCCGGACGGGTTCATTGGGTTCATTTGACCAGCCCACCGTACCAGAAGCTACAGAATAAGGACATCGATGCTGTCTTTATCAAACGTGCCCTCGA